TCACGGGACATTGTGGACGCGTCGCGGTGACACTTCCAAGTGTCACGGCAAGTCGCGTCTATACCCAAACACACTAGAAATCGACACGGCTAGATCCGTGAACCGAGCCATGTGGGAGACGACTGGCGTGCCTAGGGCCATACGGCTTCTTGGGGCGCCCACGTTGGTCTCACTTGCCAAGACATACCCGTTGGCCAATCCAGCACGTCGTATTCCAAAAGTATGACGCGGTGGGTTGGCCCACATCAAAAGTATCATATGGACTATGGGGCGGGGTCCTGATCACTCAGGTCCTGTCCGATCGTTCAACTTTTCAATTACCCTAAAAGGCAACCGATCTTAGATAGCGTAGCTACTATGCAGTTGTACAGGACTTTACTAAGCACCGTCGTAGACAGTATAAGTAGCACGTCGTTTCTTTGTATTAGAAAGCTTTCCCCCGGACTGTGAATCACTCTCATATCAGATTGTTTTGTACAATTTGCGTGCCGCGGGATTCCACCCTAAGAAGTTCTGCTACCCCTGCCCGGTCGCGACGAGTTGCTCCCTGAGCACTTGTAGCTACTGTGATTTGAGTTTGAGTTGAGACATCAGAAAGTCGGATTCGCTGCATCTGGTTTAGTCGCGGCATTTAGTGTCGTCGCCTTCGGGCTTTGTTGAGATCGTTCCACACCTCTAGCTTGGCAGTGCATCGACTAGTTGTGCTCGGGTTGTTTTGGTCAGTTGGCAGTGCGTCGACTTGAGAACTTTGGTTCCACACTTCTTGCTTGGCAGTGCGTTGACAAGTTGTGCTCGGGTTTTGGACATTGGATATTGGCTGTTAGTTGGCAGTGCGTCGACGCGGCACTTTGGTTTACTAGTTGGCAGTGCGTCGACTCAGTACTTTGGTTGTGTCAGTTGGCAGTGCGTCGACTTGACATTTTGGTTCTACTAGTTGGCAGTGCGTCGACTCAGTACTTTGGTTGTGTCAGTTGGCAGTGTGTCGACTCGATATTTGGGCTTTGCATCACCATCTGGACGCTGTCGCTACAAGGGATCTCAATACTCCGTATTAAGTTCTGACTTGTTATATTGTTGGTTGTGATTGGACTAGTATTGGTTGTGTTCGTATAGAAGATATTGGTTGAGACACCATTGTTTTGCTATATATATATTCTAGTCTTCGACTTCGTCTTCCGCGACTATTGGATCTGCGTCTATTGAGAGTTGTGATACTGGTGTTCTGTCCACCCCGAAGCCCTCGCATCTTTCACACACTGAGAAGCTGATTACGAGGAGTGTGAACGTGTTTATATTTGGGTTTACTTTCATAGTAGATTCACTTGTGAGCGCGCCCTCAGCATTTCACCGGCAGCAACCCTCGCGGCGACCCCCGCGGCGACCCCCGCGGCCACCACCACAGACGCCAATGGATCACGGGCCTCACCAATCCAATGATCAAGAGTGAGCTCAAATTCTTGACTTCATGGCTTTCGAACTCTGCTACTCACGTTGGATTATCACTAGGATCATGTTTAGTTTGGCCATTTGCCTCTGTGTAAACATGAAAAACTTCCTCCATGAGGCAGATGGCTACAGGGAAGAGCGGCGCATGAAATAAAGCAGCCAATTCTGCAAGGGATGTCCTCAATCACAAATACGAACCACAGCGTGAGCGTACAAATATGGAACAGATCAACCCCGCAGATGACCCCGCCAGATGATGGGATCATGCCCATCACTGCTGCAGTGCGGCGGGCGCAGCGGTCCAGGTTTTGCATTCAGTGCTTCGCTTTTTTGATATTTGAGGCACAGGACAGACTGGAATAGCATCCCAGTTTTTCCGGCAGCTATTTTTCTTTTTTTTTTTGCGCTCGGTCACATGACCAAACTGCGCGCCGCCCCCGCGCATTGTGCACCGTGGAGAGCCCTGAAAATCGCACCAAATGGCGGCAAAAAAGATGGGAGGAGGTCACATGAATGTGCGCCTACCGCCCGCCGTGGCATGCGGGGGGTCGGTAATGACCCCGCCAGCACCCTGCCAGCCCCTGCCAACATTTTTAAAAATTATCACTTCAGCTGTCACATGCTTTTTTTATCCCGCCATCCCGCCCATGCAGTGCGTCATGTGATTGGATTTTTTTCTTCCCGCCCAGCTACCCGCTCTTATGGACAAGTCACATGCTACATACACCCCCCCTCCTCCTGACCCCTGCATATGCCCCCGCTACTAAATCGACTAAATGGCCCCCCACCCCCCGCCAGGGGGTACCTACTGGGTACCCTCAGCAAGACGTCTGAGGGTACCCAGTAGGTACCCCGCGGGGGAGAACCGCGTGATGGCAGTGGTAACTGAGGTGGACAAAGTCGACGACAAGAATATATATATAGCAAACAGTGGTGTCTCAACCAATATCTTCTATACAACCAAAACCAACACTAATCCAACCAACAATATCACAAGTCAGAGCTTAATACGGAGTATTAAGATCCCTTGTAGCAACAGCGTCCAGATGGTGACGCAAAGCCCAAATATCAAGTCGAAGCACTGCCAACCGATACAACCAATATACTGAGTCGACGCACTGCCAACTAGTAGAACCAAAATGTCAAGTCAACGCACTGCCAACTGACAGCCAATATCCAAATGTCCAAAACCCGAGCACAACTTGTCAACGCACTGCCAAGCAAGAAGTGTGGAACGAAAGTTCTCAAGTCAACGCACCGCCAACTGACCAAAACAACCCGAGCACAACTAGTCGACGCACTGCCAAGCTAGAGGTGTGGAACAATCTCAACAAAGCCCGAAGGCGACGACACTAAATGCCGCGACTAAACCAGATGCAGCGAATCCGACTTTCTGATGTCTCAAACTCAAAACTCAAATCACAGTAGCTACAAGTGCTCAGGGAGCAACTCATTGCGACCAGGCAGGGATAACAGAACATCTTAGGGTGGAATCACACAACACGCAAATTGCACAAAACAATCTGATATGGGTATGATTCACAGTCCAGGGGAAAGCTCCCCAATACAAAGAAATGACGTGCTACTTATACTGTCTACGACAATGCTTAGTAAAGTCCTGTACAACTGCATAGTAGCTACGCTATCTAAGATCGGTTGCCTTTTAGAGTAATGAAAAGTTGAACGATCGGACAGGTCCTGAGTGATCAGGACCCCGCCCCATAGTCCATATGATACTTTTGATGTGGGTCAACCCACCGCATCATACTTTTGGAATACGACATACTGGATTGGCCAACGGGTATGTCTTGGCAGGTGAGTCCAACATGGGTGCCCCAAGAAGCCGTATGGCCTCAGGCACGCCAGACGTTCCTCACATGGTTTGGTTCACGGATCTAGCCCGTGTTGATTTTAGTGTGTTTGGGCATGGACGCGACTCGCTGTGACACTTTGGAAGTGTCACCGCGACGCGTCCACAATGTCCCGTGATCAAGTCGTCGCCGTGGCATGATTTAAGGAAACGTCTAACCCAAAGCCGGGAGTTGCCGCAACAAGATTGGTTCAATCTTGTAACGCCAAGTCCTGTCTAGTAGTAGTTGTCATGTTGAGAACGTCGCGCATTGCTCAGCCCTTCAGCCCAAGTTCCCATCTGCAGAGAATGACCCTTTTGGGAAGTCACCACAACAAAAGATCCCTTTTGGGGAATTGTTGCGGTCCAAGTGTCCATCTCTAATAGCCCTGAGCCTGGTGTAGACCCATAAGACCAATTCCACAGTAGTGGTCTGACTGCCTTGCTATCATCGTTGACACTATCCACAGTTGTCGACTGGTCAGTAGACCCTTAAGTCCTACTGAGCGCAACACTGTCAATCCGCGACACGATACACTGAGTGGTTCGAGAGTAAACTCTGTAAAAGCGGAAAAATACGCCCCTATAGAGCTGGTGCAGAGCGCACCTGATAGCCAGCCTATCACCACGACACAATACACTGAATGGTTTGAGAGTAAACTCTGTAAAAGCGCAAAAATACGCCCTTATAGAGCTGGTGCAGAGCGCGTCTGGTAGCCAGCCTATCACCCCCCTACCCCAGTCATTCAAGAACAAAGACGGGACCTTCATCAGGCCCGTCAAGTCCACCTGACCTTCAAGGAAGCCGGCCGCCTTGGTGTAGTTTGCCAGACAGACTTGACAAAATTGAGGTCGCCCATATACAGGAAGTAGCACCCGTAGCACTAGCATTTAGACTAATGTCATGGCTGTAGCCATAAAAACCCTACACTATTTTATGAATGGTAGCCATGCATATTAGTCTCTTGCGTGATCATGTGATGTATCATGTGATCTCCATCAGTCACCCACAAGTGATACCCTGCTGTGTCCCTCCTTCTTGGAGTTAAGACAGGTTTGGGTTTGGGATAGGGCTTCAGGTCCCAAAAATCATGTTTTTCTTACTAGTTAGGGTTTGGGTTGGTTAGCGGTCAGGGTTGGTAGGGGTTTTGGGTGGTAAGAGGTTACGGTTGTTTGCCCTAAGTGGGGGAAACATTTTTTGGCAAGCGATAACAGGGTTGTATCTGACAATACGTGCTTAATTAATATGCTGTTATCGCTTAATGGTTACACTGCGGGGGGACTTATTTTTTTTCCGTGGAAAATGCGCGACAAAAAGATTTCAGTGAAAAAAGATCATCTTTTCTTTGTCTCCATTTTCAGTGAAAATCGACGTCTATTCCCAGTGGAAATCGATCAAAAAAAAGAATATCTATTTACAGTTCTGTTTTCGGGAGGAATAGATGTCTATTCATGGTAAAAATCGAGCTGTAAATCGACGTCTATTTTCAATATATATTTTTTGTCTGAAAACATAACGGTGAAAATCGGACTTCTAGATTGTCGCGCATTTTCCACGGAAAAAAAATAAGTCCCCCCGCAGTGTTATCGCTGCAGATCTGTCTCGTTTTTTGGAAGGGTCACAAGTTCGATCCCGTGTCATCCCTACCATTCATAAAATAGTCTATGGTTTTTACGACTACAGCCATGTGCACTAGTCTAAATCCTAGTGCCATGGCTCGTACTGCAGCGCGCCGGTGGTCGGGTTCTGCGTGCCGAACATCACCGTCAGCGAGTTCTTGGTCGGCTCCGTGTCGCTCAGCGCGACGAGTTCCGTGTGCGTGGAGATACCGCAGTCGCCTGATCCGTCGCGTGATTCCGAGGCTTAGATCGCGGCCCTGAGCATGAGGGGTTACCTGCCCAGATGTTCCTTACAGTACAAGTGTCATCAGCGGGGATTGCAGACAGATCGCGGCCGGCCACTCCTCACCTGTCGCGTTTTGCTCCATCGACGAGGATAGGCCCAGTCACAGAACCTCCCAAGGCATCGTTGGACCAGCCACCTACAAATGACATCCCACAGTTTGAATGGGCCCAATATTCAAATCCGTGCTAAAACGTACCTCCTGCGGGCCACGGCCCCTGTCGCACCATGCGGGGAGGGATTGTGTTGTTCTGCACCGTATACGTGCCTGCTAGCGGTCAGCCCCTACCCACGCCACGCTCTGCCCCATCAGACAGCGAGCGGGCGATGACGCACTGGCGTACAAGATCTTCGCCAGGAAGTCGATGTCGTGAAACCCGGGGTCAGGTGTGTAGAAGTAGCCCGGGTACGCCCTGAGAGCGTCCCAGTGGGGCATAAACGTAATCGCCAGCGAGATGTTCGAGATCGTCAGCGGGTCCGCGCTCGCACTCACGATGGTCAGGAAGCGAAACCCGCCGCACTGCTGTCACACGGTCTGCGTCAGCAGCCCCGTGGCAAGCGGCGCGTGGAACGTCTGGATCCCGTCCCAGTTCTGCGGCCGCCGGCGCAGGCTGGCACGAGTCGTCCGACTTGAGCGTGCTGATGAACTCCGCGCACTCGGTGAACGACAGCGAGAACTGCGACTGCGCTGTCGCGTCGTTGATCGTCAGCGACATGATCCCCCGAACTACTTATAGTATGGGTGTGTCAATTGACCCTCGACGGCGCTGTATCAGGGAGGCTGCGCACCTCCTTGCCCCAGTCGAAACGTACGAGCCGCTGCCTTGAAAGGTCGCCTGGGAGTCCGGACTCGCGCCGGCGACTTGGCCCCTGACCCCATCTCGAATGTTGTGCTTTTCGAATATTACGATGTTGCGATATTGCGATGTTGCGATATTGCGATGTTGCGATATTGCGATGTTGCGATATTGCGATGTTGCGATATTGAGATAGTCGGCTATCTGGGGTCTTGATCATTGCGTCAATCATCTAATCAATATCTGCCGAGCGGCCATCCATGATTGAGACATCGGTTATCAGCATAACGTTTTCAGCCTCCATAGTAATGATCTAATCCCAATCAAGCACGTCAAGATTAGATTTCTTGGGGATTTGATTATCTGGGGCCACTATTAAACAAGCACATGCTTTGCTCTGGTGCCGCTGCCAGTGTGCTCACAAAACATGAGCAGGAGTGTGGTAAAGGCAGGGCAACGCACATACAAGCTGCCGACACATCTGGAACCGTGGCATGAATTCAGGTGCGATTGCGGCGTGTACAGCAACCACGTGCCGCCCGGTGCCCAAGCTGCTGCAGAAGCTCGAGGTGCAGTCGTTGTCTTCCGCATCGACTGACCTTTCCTCGTCGTCGGGGTATTTCATGTAGGCCCCATTCGTCGTCCGCGGAAAACGCTGACACGCCCATTAGATGTCTGTCAGCTTTTGATACCTGGTGGCCGCACAGCCAGTCATGTGGACCCGCGCGCTAAAATGAAATTCCAGGGATGAGGCCCTGCGGCTTCTCCCGCAGGACGCAAAGTGCCGGTTGACGCCGGCGGGAGAGTCATCGCTGGACACCGCGTCTTGCTATTGCTGTATTGCCACGCGATGACTGGACCATCCCCTTGACAGATGCATCCCTCCCTGCACGCAGGAATGCTTCCCCGCGTACGCAGTCCACCAGTCCACCGACAACCTCCACGACCGAGCACAAAGTCCCCTCACAATCGACTCGCGCTCATCCCGTTTTCCTCCGGCTTCGCTAGCTGCGTTGGCAAGCGTTTCGCGATACGGGAGAGTGCCCCGCTGACAGAGGTGTTCGATGTGCGATTCGCGGATGGGTTCGCGGCGGAGGAGTGAGCTGAGCATCTGCGTTATATCTTCGTGAATCGTATTGGCATGTCATTCCGTTCATGGTCTCGCTGACCAAGAGAGTGTGAGCTCACGGGCCTGTGGACCCGCGTTTCCGCTGCTGTTTCCCGCGTTTCCGCTGCTGTTTCCCACGGTTGGGCTATTGATGGTTACGTGTTCCCACGGTTCATCATCACCATTGAACGACAGTCTCACAGTTCCAGTATATGCAGGCGCGGACTCCTGCGTACGATTTCGCCGCCCGTTCAATCGCGGCTTCCGAGACATCGATAGTTTTGCCCTCCGTGTGCAAAGTGAGATGTCGGAGTTCGTTCTCGGTGTTAAGGCTGGCCCGATCAGCAATGGAAGCCTGCTGCGCCACGACTCCAAATTATCGAATGACAGTCTGCGCCTGATCGGGGTCGCTGACGAAAACAGACTCTGTTGAATGATCTTCTGCGCTCGGAAGCCTTGTCTTGTCAGATAGCGGCTCTACATCGACCGATGTGACCAAAAAATAATGACGCTCGATGACTAGGAAGTGTGTACTTGACATTCTGCCTATTATCCACTGGGGCCGTATTTCCTGCATCATGCCACTGCTCGTAGGATAAAAGCATCGCATGGAGTCGCTAAGCTGCATACTTGACCCCCATGCAACAAATCTGGCTCTCACCCGCTTTACTTGGTGTGGTCAGTGTCCGGCATCATAGTTCCACACCCGTGCTCACATCCCCCTAGCTTAACCACATCTTCTTCCGCTACTTTGAGCCAGGCAATGCGCACTACCCTCTTTTAGCGATCCTCATCCAGCCTGCGCTGCTCCTTTCGTTCCTCTCCCATGGCACACCCACCGTGCCTACCGCGCTCAATGTGCTCGGCGTCTACGCCACATTCATCGGCAGCCTTTCGCTCTCTATCGTGCTTTATCGACTCTCCCCGTGGCACCCCCTCGCATCGGTCCCGGGCCCAACGCTGTACAAGATCTCAAAGGTCTGGAGCATCCGCGACGCCGTGCGGGGGGACCCGCATCGGGTCGTCCGGCGGATGCATGATAAGTACGGCCCAGTTGTCCGAACTGGTGCGTTGCTTGTCCCCTGTCGTTTTTGTCCGCGGGTGAGGCGGTGCTCATTTATTATCTTGCTCGCTAGGCCCGAATGAGGTTTCGATCGTACACACCGACGCGGTCAAGGTCGTGCTGGGGACCTACCCCAAAGGCCAGCGTGAGTACCGAGCCACCCCCGCCGCGTGGGAGTCCTGCTGAGCGCTTCCAGATTACGAGCCCCGCGACGATCCCGCCGTTCCAGCCAAATCGCTGCTGGTGCTCAAGGGAGAGGCGCATGCGAACCGCCGCCGGATCTGGAACCGTGGCCTCAACTCAGCCTCAATCGCTGCCTACGAGGTGACCTTGGTGAAGCGCGTCGCACAGCTACTGGAGAGGCTGGAGGAACAGTCACTATCCGGGTCGTCGGTCAGCATCTCCAAGTGGCTGGGCTATTTCACGTGAGCGCGGTGTCCCCCAAGGCCTTTATCTCGTGCTGACTCGAGTATCCCAGGTTCGACTTCATGGGCGACATGGCGTGCGTGCGAGAGCTGTCTGCCTTGCCTCTACCTGCTCACCTGTGATCCAGATTCGGTGGTGGATTTGAGATGATGCGTGATCGCGGAGATACAAACGGGCTTTGGAAGATCATCGAAGATGGCACTCGGTTCGTACTTGCACTCATCGTGTTCAACACATATTTGCTGATGTAAATCTCTCCCGGCCAGTGTCTCGGCGTTGCTGGCTCCGATCCCCTGGATCGTGCCGACGGTACGGATGCTCCCGGGTCTCGCCAAGAACATGAACACGCTGAGTCAGTTTGGCGTTGACTCCGCTGCCAATCGCATCCAGGCAGGCTCGCTCGTCAAGGATCTGTGGTATCATCTAGTGTGTCTCTGCGTGTGTTGTGACCTGCAAGCCCTGAAATTGATCTCTTCCAGACGGACGAAGCCGAGGTGGAGAAACAGCGCCCGTCGATCCCCGAGGTGGTCGCAGACGGCGTGTTGAGTATCATTGCGGGCTCCGATACAACGTCTACGGCACTGAGCAAGTACGTATTGTGCAATGTCATGTTTCATGACAGGGTGTCTGACTCGCTGATCGGACAGTCTCATCTGGCTCTTGCTGTCGAACCCAGCGGTCTACAAGCAAGTTCGGGAGGAAGTCGACAGCGTCTACCCGCGCGGTGACTCGCCCCTCGATGCGTCCAAGCATTCCCAGCTCTCCTTCCTCACCGCATGCATGTCAGTCCTGCTAGTGGACCAGTGACTACCCCTCACTCACGCACCCGCTCACAGCAACGAGACACTCCGGCTGCTCCCGCCCGTCCCGTCCGGGGGGCCCCGCAAGGTCCCCGTAGGCGGTGGAAAGGTCATCGCTGGACAGTACGCATTCCTCGCCCCGTCTCGTCATGAATGAGAATCGGCTGACACTCGCTTGCAGCTACATCGCACCAAACACGCAGATCTTCGTGCCGCAGTACACCCTCCACCGCTCCGCCGAGAACTTTGATGACCCGGACACCTTCAAGCCCCAGCGCTGGCTGAGCCCCGAGTCGGCCGAGAAGCACAACCCGCTCGCGTTCATCCCGTTCTCGTTCGGCTCGGCGAACTGCGTCGGCAAGAATCTCGCGTGGCGGGAGATGATTATGGTCAGCGCGGCGCTTATCCACACCTTCGACATCCGCTTTGCCAAGGATTTCGCCGGGGCCGAAGAATGGAGCAACCATCTGCACGACCAGTTCGTCACTAATATCGCAATGCCCCTCCAGGTGACCTTGACCAAGAGGGATTAGCTCATCAGTTGTAGTATGGACATTACCTTTGAATAGAACACCACATTCTTTAGTATTTTTGACAGAGAGTAACATTTGGAACCCATTATGCATCGGCCGATGTCGTTACGGCTATCGTTGCAACCTTCCCACGGTTCAACATTCTGAGTTTGATCATGCAGATCACCTTGATCACTCCCGCATCCGGCTCGATACTGATGGCAGTGTTCAATACTGATGCTGATACTGAGCGGAGTTGAAAATCACACTGGGAGATCGGCAGTTCAATCCCGCGCTGTACTCGATGACCTCAACAATTTCTTATTCACAGCAGGCTCTTAGGATAAGAGGGAATAGAGATTCAAATAAAGGCTGTGTGGTGTGGAAAGTCTGAAATAAACTCAGTTTGGTAGTATTCAAATACTTGGATATGTACATAGCTCATTGCCCTCCCTCATTGTGTCCCACTTTCAGAGCATCAATCCATAGAGTCCAAAGCGGAGAAAATGAGGGGTGCTGCACATAGCTAGAAAACTCACCCTAAATCATTTGCCATCTTAGTAAACATGTCTCAATGCGTAATTCAGAAGCAAGGTAGTTAGGAAGCATAGCAAAGATGGAGAAAGAATAGTCCAAAAATATGGTGCGGCTGTGCTGGTAGCCTACAATGATCCCTACCTGATTTGGTTGTAGACATTAGTCATCACCCCATTTTTTCTAGAGACCATCTGCTTGTATGCTGAGATGTCTTCTCTGTGCATCCATCTTTGCACAACTCACCCCAGGAGTGCTCCATCTGGTGATTGGAAGGAATTCAAATACTCACAATGCCCTGACCCCGCTGATAGGCTGGCTACCAGACATGCTCTGCACCAACTCTATAAGGGCATATTTTTGCGCTTTTACGGGGTTTACTCTTGAACCACTTGGTGTATCATGTTGCATTTGCTAGTGTTGTGTTCAGTAGGGATGAAGAGTTTGGTGCTCAGTCAATGACTGCGAATAGTGTTGACAATGGCAAGGCAGTCAGACCACTACTGTGGATCGGTCTTATAAGTCTATACCAGACTCAGGGCTAGTAGTGACAGACACTTGTGTCATGGCAATTCCTCAAAAGGGATATTCTTGTTGTGGCAACTCCTTGAAAGGGTCATTCTCTTCAGATGAGAGCTTATGCCAGAAGGCTTAGCAATGCATGACATGCTCAATATAACAACTACCACTAGACAGGACTTGGCATTACAAGATTGAACCAATCTTGTCATGGCAACTCCCAGCTTTGGGTTGGACGTTTCCTTGGATCATGCCATGGCAACAACTTGTCACATGCCATGTTCTACTCAATCACGGGATATTGTGGACGCATTGCGGTGACACTTCAAAGTGTCACAATGAGTCGTGCCCATACCCAAAGACAGCAAAAGCCACATGGGCTAGATCTGTGAACGGAACCATGTGAGGAACGTCTGGTGTGCCTAGGACCATACGGCTTCTTGGGGCGCCCACGTTGGACTCACTCGCCAAGACATACCATTTGGCCAATCCAGCACGTTGTATTCCAAAAGTATGACGCGGTGGGTTGACCCACATCAAAAGTACCATATAGACTATGGGGTGGGGTCCTGATCAGTCAGTACCTGTCTGATTGTTCAACTTTCTCATTACCATAAAAAGCAACTGATCTTAGATAGCGTAGCTACTATGCAGTTGTACAAGACTTTACTAAGCATCGTTGTAGACAGCATAAGTAGCGCAATGTTTCTTTGTATTAGGGAGCTTTCCCCCGGACTGTGAATCATACCCATATCAGATTGTTTTGTGCAATTTGCGTGTCGTGTGATCCCTCCTTAAGAAGTTCCATTATCCCTGCCTGGTTGCGACAAGTTGCTCCCAATTGCTCGTAGCTACTGTGATTTGAGTTTGAGTTGAGACATCAGAAAGTCAGATTTGCCGCTTCTGGTTTAGTCGCGGCACTCAGTGTCATTGTCTTTGGGCTTTGTTGAGATTGTTTCCACACCTCTAGTTTGGCAGTGCGTCAACTAGTGGTGCTTGGGTAGTTTTGGTCAGGTGGCAGTGCGTCGACTTGAGAACTTTGGTTCCACACTTCTTGTTTGGCAGTGCATCGACAAGTTGTGCTCGGGTTTTGGACATTGGATATTGGCTGTTAGTTGGCAGTGCGTTGACGTGGCATTTTGGTAACACTAGTTGGCAGTGCGTCGACTTAGTACTTTGGTTGTTTCAGTTGGTAGTGTGTTGACTTGACATTTTGGTTTTACTAGTTGGCAGTGCGTCAACTCAGTATTTGGGCTTTGTGTCACCATCTGGACGCTGTTGCTACAAGGGATCTTAATACCTCGTATTAAGCTCTGACTTGTGATATTGTTGGTTGTGGTTGGATTAGTGTTGGATTTGACTGTATAGAAAATATTGTTTCAGACACCCTTATTTGCTATATATAAATTCTTGTCGTCAACTTTGTCTTCCGCGACTATTGGATCTGTGCCTATTGAGAGTTTGTGATACTAGTGTTCCGTCCACCCCAAAGCCCTTGCATCTTTCACACACTGAGAAGCTGATTACGAGGAGTGTGAACGTGTTTATACTTGGGTTTACTTTCATAGTAGATTCACCTGTGAGCGCGCCCTCAGCATTTCAACGGCAGTAGACCACATCTGCGGGAAGAAGGCCAAAGTAGAGAGGGAGAAGTGCATACGGCAGTAGCACTCCCTGGTGCAAGGAATCAGGCTTGGCTAGACCACTTGCGGGGATTTGAAAGAGGTGGCCAGGCAGAGAAGGAGAGGGTGGACGTCAGCAAGGATGGAGGTGAGGGTCAGAGGAGGTGGAGGAGGCTGGGTGACCAACAAGGTGAGCAGGCACAGGTCAGCAAGGAAGGCGCAGTGGGCCACATGCATGGTCACGTGCCCATGGAGTGGGCGTCCCCTGACAGAACAATGGCACCACCTGCCATCAAAGAGAAGTGCTTGGTGTTGTGGTCTGGGCTGCTGCACATGACAGCTGACAGGTCACATGAGTGCAATCACATGCCTGATCCCTGGCTGATTGTTCTGAATCAGGGGTTCCCCTGACAGCCAAGGAAGGCTGTAATTGGACAAAGATTTGATTCTAACTCAGGATCAACGCAGTTCTGGGCTGCAGTTTTTTTGTAGCATAATATAGATTACATATGGACCTTTTTTGTCAAAGGATCAGGTCCAGATATGCCCCCAAGTATTTGCATCAACTCATCAGTGTGAGATTTGACAAATCAGGAAAAGTCACGCATGCATCATGTGATTTTTGTTGAAGGTGGATGAGGACCACCCTACATACTTGTGCTCTATGTCGGAGTAAGTGGGAGCGCGGGAATAAAGTAAGAAGGTCTGCAATAGCAAGTAAGAAAATGTAGAATGCTTTAGGGCAAACCAATGCCGTTCTACATAATTACAGATTGCTTATATACTGTATGTAAATCTATCTAGAGTGTTCTGTAAGTGTCCATAGGTTTCCAGTATGTTTAGTAATCAATATTTGATTTGCCCGAAGGCCGAAGCTGGTCGATCTAATCTAATCTTCAACACTCTAGTCAGCGTGGTGTTAGGGGTCGCGATCAGTGGACTGTTGATCTGGCATCTCGTCATCACATTACCCGTGATAGATCTGCACCGCTTATCAGCATGTAGTTTTCGGCCTACATATAGTTCCCACAGTTCATCATCATTAGTGAACTACAGTTTCAGTCTCAGTATACGCAAGCGCGGACTCCTGGGTACGATTTCGCTGCCCGTTAAGATCTTAGTTTCTGAGACATCGATAGTTTTGCCTTCCGATTGCAACGTGGGATGTTGCAACCCGTTCTCGATGTTCGGGCTCGCCCCATCACCGATGTGAGGTTGCTGTTCTTTGACTGCCAGTAATCGTCCATCGGGCTCGCTGACCGAGACCGACGTTGTTTGAATGGTCATCTCCGCCCGGATGCCTTGTCTTGTCTGGTAGCGGCTCTATCTCGACCGACATGACGAAAGGTCAATGACGCTTTGTGAGCAGGAAGTGTGTACTTGACATGTTGCCTTTTATCCACTGGGGAGCCGTATTTCCTGTATAATGCCACTGCCTGTAGCATAAAAGCATTGTATGTAACCGCCGAGTTGCATACTTCACCCGCCATGCAACGAATCTGGGTCTCACCCGCTTTACTTGGTGTGGTCAGTGCAGTCTAGCATCATTGCTCTTCAAACCCGTGCTCACATTCCCATAGCTCAACCACATCTTCTTCCGCAGATTTGAGCCGGAAAATGCGCACTACCCTCTCCTAGCGATTCTCGTGAGTCGTTCAGCCCGCGCTGCTCCTCTCGTTCCTCTCCCACGGCGCGCCCACCGTGCCCACCGTGCTCGGGGTCTACGCGGCATTCATCGGCAGTCTGACGCTCTCCATCGTGCTTTACCGGCTCTCCCCGTGGCACCCCCTCGCGTCGGTCCCCGGCCCAGCGCTGTACAAGATCTCCAAGGTCTGGAGCCTCCGCGACGTCGCGCGGGGGGACTCACATCGTGTTATCCGGCGAATGCACAATCAGTACGGCCCGGTCGTCCGAACCGGTGCGTGTGAAATTGTTTCCTGACTTTTCGACGCGGCTACTCATCCTTGCCACTCCGCAGGCCCAAATGAGGTGTCAATCGTTCACACTGATGCGGTCAAGGTTGTACTGGGAACATTCCCCAAAGGCCAGTGTGAGTTCTGAGCCACCCCGCCGCGTGGGAGTCCTGCTGACTGCGTCCAGACTACGAGCCCCTCACCGACCCTTCCATCCCAGCCAAGCCGCTGCTGCTTCTCAAGGGAGAGGCGCACGCGAATCGCCGCCGGATCTGGAACCGCGGCCTCAACTCAGCTTCAATCGCTGCCTACGAGGTGACCTTGGTGAAGCGCGTGTCGCAGCTGCTGGAGAGGCTAGAAGAGCAGTCGCTGTCCGGGTCGTCAGTCAGTATCAACCAATGGCTAGGCTATTTCACGTGAGCCAGCTTCCCGCAAGCTTTCCTGGTGCTGAATTGGTCGTCCTAGCTTCGACTTTATGGGTGACATGGCGTGCGTACAAGAGCTGTCTGCCGTGTGTCTCTGATACCTGCTCACGTATAATCCAGGTTCGGTGGCGGATTCGAAATGATGCGTGATCGCGGAGACAAGGACGGGCTGTGGAAGATGATCGAGGAGGGCACTCAGTACGTGTTCTCAAGTCAGTCGTGCATCCAAAGCATGATTGTTCACATGGATCTTTACCTCCCAGTATCACAGCACTTCTTTCCCCGATTCCCTGGGTCTCACCGACAATGCAGCTGATCCCGGGACTCGCCAAGAACATAAAGGCCTTGGTCCAGTTTGGTGCCACGTCTGCTGCCAACCGTATCAAGGCTGGCTCGCTCGTCAAGGATCTGTGGTATCATCTGGTGCGTCTTTGATTTTACTTTGCCTAACAGGCTGGTATTGACTTTTTTTGCAGACGGATGAAGCCGAGGTGGAGAAACAGCGCCCATCGATTCCCGAAGTGGTCGCAGATGGTCTGCTGAGCATCATTGCGGGCTCTGATACGACTTCCACGGCACTGAGCAAGTGCGTGACGCCCAATGTCATGTGTCATGACCTGCTGATCGGACAGTCTCGTCTGGCTCTTGCTATCGAACCCGGCAGTTTACAAGCAAGTCCGGGAGGAAGTTGACAGCGTCTACCCGCGCGGCGACTCGCCCCTCGATGCGTCCAAGCACTCGCAGCTTCCCTTCCTTACCGCATGCATGTCAGTCTATCCAATCAACGAGTGACTTCTCCTTGCTGAGCACTCGCACACAGCAACGAAACGCTCCGGCTTCTCCCGCCTGTACCGTCCGGCGGGCCTCGCAAGGTCCCTGTGGGCGGCGGAAAGGTCTTCGCCGGGCAGTGCGCATCCTCCATTTGCCCCGCCGTGTCTCTCAAATCAGCTCACACTCGTTCGCAGCTATATCGCACCAAACACGCAGATCTTCGTGCCGCAGTACACTCTTCACCGCTCCGCAGAGAACTTCAGCGACCCAGACGCCTTCAAGCCGCAGCGCTGGCTGAGCCCCGAGTCGGCCGAGAAACATAACCCGCTCGCGTTCATCCCGTTCTCGTTCGGCTCTGCGAATTGCGCAGGAAAGAATCTCGCGTGGCGGGAGATGATCATGGTCAGCGCGGCGCTTATCCACACCTTCGACATCCGCTTTGCCAAGGATTTTACCGGGGCTGAGGAATGGAGCAACCATCTCCACGACCAGTTCGTCACCAGCATTGCCATGCCACTCCAGGTCACCATGGCCAAGCGGACTTAGTTTGGTCGTTCCAGTACACACAAGTCACTTTTTTTTTTTACCTTGGAATACAACCCCACATTCGTTGGTATTTCTCGATCGAAAGTGGAATTTGGGGCCCACTGTGCACGGCTATCATTGTAAGATTCCCACGGTTGAACATGCTCAGATGGATCACGCAGACGCTCCAGTGACTCTTGTGATGCTAGCCCATACCAGCCTCTTTAAATGGCGAACCTTAACGCAGTACTCAATTATGAGAAAACATTTTCCACCCATGCAAGACCTCTGGAGCCTCCTTCATATAGCTTGCACCGACTAACATCACAATGGATGACATCTGTCCAGCTGAAATCTGGCCAAATCAGGGTCGGTCAGTTCGTCGAGCCAGACGCAAACCTCTAGCCTGGCATGCAAAAAGAAACAGCAACAACGCGCGAATTCCGTGACGACAGGCCAATGTCCGTTCCTGCCAACATTGTGGGGCCGTACCGCTACCCGTACCCTTCCCCGGATCGAACCACCGAATACTGGCACGACCGATGTGGTGGATGGCAACGAGAGAACAGAAGACCCCCGTAATCAAGCACACAGCTCAGCTACCATAACCTGTAATTATCCAGTAGTGCGCTGGGCTTGTAGCCTCCCAAGCTTGAGATCCTCTCCGGCACAGTCCGAAGGTTCATATCCTGGCAAAGATGACCGGCACTTACACCAGCATGGGTTAATCAGAGGTTTTTCTCATCCCCCAGGCCCGTAGTCGTAGCTGCCAGTCGAGCACAGCAACGGGATGTCAGATCGTGGCAGCCAGCTTGATCGGAAGCGGCAGGCAACCCTCACGGAATTATGACCGACCCGGCTTCCTAGAGCCCCACTCTTGAGTCCGGCTATTGAAATCCGGCACTCGGCGGTCCCTGTATTGTATGTTTCAGCTTGAATCGGACAGGTGCGCCCACCAGCCAGCTAGCGCTCATGCGCAAGTGCCCTCCGCCGCATTCAACTGAAAGCCGTGGTATTCGGGGATGAGTCCGAAATCGACAAATCGACAGCCACGGTTACCTGTCGTTGTTCTTGTGTGATTTCTGATGTGCTTGAGTTCATGCGCATTTGCAGGCACAAGAGCGCTGCCACAGAACCGCCGAGTGAGCTGTGACGCTCGAGTTACGATTGACAAGCTGTTGAATTTCCTTCACTTGAACTTTGCCGTGGTTTGATGATCTTGCCGACCGCGGACGTCGACGATGGCCCGGCGGCGCATACGGCGAGGACGATAACAATGCTGCCTGCTCGTGGAAAAGCTGCGCCTCGCTGGCTGCTGGAGTCTAAGACCGTAGCTGCCACGTCGTTACCCACTTCAGCGAGATCCGTGATGTCATCCACCCCACATTTCTTGGCCCTCCCGAGCCAAATTTTTCTTCCCTGGGGCCAACTCACCTGTCAAACCACACGACTCGGCCATCTCTCGTTGACTGACGGGAGTTTCGAAACAAGGGATCATGGACTGCAAGCTCTCTGGCTGGAAAGCAATATTTCCTGCGTGAGCAAGAGGCGGCAGATAGGTAGTGGGAGAAGGACAAGATAGAGACTTGGTCTCAACTGGCATGAGGCTCACCTCGTACCATCGCGCAGTCCGGTCCGACTCTGATCGGAAGGAATAGAAGTCTACTTGCATGTCTCCGTTTCTTGTGGCAAACTTCCCGGAGGTGATTGCCGTTGTCGAGCATGCCATGAATCTGTCAGATTGGGGGTTGAATCGGCGACAGAATTGTCAAGAGGACATTGCTTTCTGTTCATGGGGCTCGATTTTCTGGCTCGAATAGGGAACCTTTCTGCGCGGTTACGAGTCGAGGTCGGTCAGCTTGCTCCTCAGCCATCCATGCGCTCGACGCCTGACGAGTTTGGGAACGTACAGATGGAGGCCCAGACCCGGCCAACGGAAATCAAGCGAGGCGGAAATGCCGGAAGCTGCTTTGGTAGATTTGATAGAACTCACTACCGCGATCGCGAAACTGAAGGAAGCCATCGACAACAAATGCTCGGCAGTCCAGAGTGACGAGAACACCAACGAGGGCTGGCGTCAATGTCGAACTGACTTTCCTCGATTGAATTCGTGAGCGGACATCGACCACGGCATAGGAAACCATGAAATAGATGGCCTGGAAATGCCAGCATCAGCAGCAGCCCTGCCCGACCCATCTTTGGACTGGTACTAGATGTTCGCGAAGTTTACGCAACCTGTCAGTGATTGCTCCGTTCTAACCTCTTTTCTCCGCGTCTAAGGTCGCATCTTTCTGTACCCACTAACGCGCACACTCGTTCTGTAGCTGAAAACGTTGAGCAGGCAATCGGTAGTCAAGTCAATAACTTTTAATACCTAGTTTTCGAATGGGAAATTAAGTCTCAGACGTTGACTTTAGAAATCTGGCCAACTATTGTTCTACACGAACACGGTCTCAAACGGAACTTTTCACCAGACGACTGTAAGCATGTCGTGTCAGAGCTTTCGTAAAATACACTGCGGGCGGGCCGTCGAGTGACGGGGGCTCTAATCATTTCCTAAAGTGGAAATGCAGCGAGCTCCCGATGATGCGTTTGGCAACAACCACCTGCTGGTACTGCGGCGCGACTTCGAAACTTCGTCTCTACCATCCCAAACTATCTCCTCGCTGGATGGGACGGTGGTACGTATAAAGGTGAGTGGGCGGAAGCGTACCAACATATTCATCCGCTTTTTTTCTCTTTCAATCTTCTTACTACTTTTTCTTCCAATGTCTCGCCTTGCTTTTTTCTTGACTTTCACCGCCTTCCTCGCATCGGTCTTTGCAGCAGAAGTTGCTGAGCGGGACACCACCGATACTTCTGTTCATGCGTGAGTCGATCCATCTGCTTGTTGATAGGATGTGTCTGATCAGTGGATGTGTGTGCAGCGGTGGATATGTGCCTTCAGTGAGCATCCCCCCCATTCCATGGCATTCTTCTAGACCATGAACCGTGTCTACAGCGACAACTTGCCTCGATGGCAATCATCGCGTTCGCGCAATCGGCGATTGTGTCCTTGATCCACTTCTTCTGGGTCCGACCGATGAAAGTCTCTATGCTTACTTACACTGTCGGAATGTTTGGTGCGATAAGAAACCACGCTCGAGGGTAGCCGAATTTGCTGACAATCAGAAAGCGCTCACTGGCGGCTTCCTTCTCCGTGCCATGGACACGGTTGCGCCTTTTCAACTGTGGAAGTACATCACCTGGGACCTGGTGTGTTATCTCCAATCTCGATGCGCAAAGCAACGCTTGCTGACATCTTTTTGCAGCTGACTCTTCTCTCGGTACCTATTCTCGCACTCACTTCGGGACCAGCACTGATAGTCCTGCAGCCCAGCTTCTTTATCGCCACGTGCTACTTCCTGCTCGCTCACTTGGGAAACACGTTCGATCCCGATGTCGTCTCGCGTTGCATGGCTGTCAGCCCCTCGCGTATTATGACATTCTTCGTCGGGAGCAACCTCGTCAGTTTCCTGCTCGAGGGCGGTGGTGGAGCCATGACTCATTCGCAAAACGGCTCTGTGGCGCAAACGGGTTCCAAGGTACTTGGGGTCGTCCATCCGCATGTAGAATCCAGATGTGACCTGGCTTTCGCAGATTGTCTTGATCGGATTCATTCTCCAGGCCGCGACGCTCCTGCTTTTCATTTTCCTCTTGATTTCTTTCACTATCCGAATGTACGGCCCCTTCTGTACTGAAGTCTCTGACTCACTCTCTGATTCCCAACTCTAGCTCCACTGACTACCCCCATCTCTGGAAACCCGACCACGTGGCCAAGTGGAAGATGATGTCTGCTGGCCCGATCGAGAACTGGCGCCTGCTTGTCTACATGATCTTCATCGTCAGCGGTGGACTTGCGGTGAGCACGGGATACCGCGTGGTTGAATACCTCGGAGGGTATGTGTTCTCCAGTTGGCAGGACGATTCGTGAGCCTAACTGCCTACTCCAGCTACAACGGCACCATTGCCAACAAGGAGCTATACTTCTACCTTTTCGATGCTCTGCCGCTCGCCATGACCACGTCGATGTTCATCACGCTCTGGCCGACCCGCTTCCTCCACCCGAAAGGACGCCAATTCTCACTGCGCGGTGGACCCAGCGACGAAGCCCTGAAGCCTCACTCATCATTCAGCGAGCTCTAATCGGCGTGCTTTGCCATCTTTCACTGGACTTTTGTAATCTACTTACACCCCACTTTCTTTCCTTCTGGTTATTTATATTATTGTCCGCTATCGATGAGACTGGGAATGGACTGCCCTCAGAGTGTCGCTGCAGTGTGAGAGTGAACAATCCATCCTCGTTGAACCACCTTAAATGGTTCCCATCTGCGCTTGTCAGCATTCTGACTCCAACAATCTTTTTATATAATGTATTTATTGAGTTTGAAGTGCGGGATTGAGGCAATTTTTTCTGTCTGTCTATATTTATACTGTAAGCCAGTGATTTTATTCTCTTTTCTTGTCCCAAAAGTGTTTTCTCAATGGTCTAGCGTGTTTGGCACCAATTTGGGTTTGGGGAAGGGTCGAGATTTGGCTATGCACAGCCACGTGCCACGTGTTTCACGTGACCTTGACAGCCACACAGAAAAAGTCTTCCTCTCTTTCCAGTCAGAGGAACATAGAAATATCAAGAAGAAAAACGGACCCTCCAATATTTGGCAGTGTTAATGGCAGTGGCTCCGTGAATGTGCCGCATTTGCGTGACGCCTATCTTGTCTTGGCTCAGGCTGGAAATGATGCCGCCGGCTAGGACACTCACGTGCTGGTCATGTAGCATCCTGTCAAAATCTCGTGACCGTCCTCATTTCTTGCATGCTCAGCCTCTAGTAGCAACAAGATGCCAAGTGCAACCTCAGGGAGACGGATGAGTCCCGCTCTGAAATCTTCTCTCTTCGCCTAATACCACGGCTTCCCCATCCACTCACATGTGCTCCCTATCTGTAGCTACACGCATGTATCCAGTGGTCAATTAGTAGTAATGCGCAGTCTTCGAAGACAATAATCAGTTCTCAAACGCCGACTTCAATGTCATGGTTAATGATTGTCTTGAAAGAACACGGTGTCAAAAACCGAGCTTTTACCTAGACGTCTGTAAACATTCCGTGTAAGAGCTTGCGTAAAATACACTGCGGGCGGGCCGTCGAGTGATGGGAGCTCTAATTACTTCCTAAAATGGGAATGCAGCGAGCTCGCGGTGATGCGTTAGGCAACAACCACCTGCTGGTACTGCGGCGCGTCTTCAGTACCTGGTCTCCACCGTTCAAAACTGTCTCCTCGCTGGATGTAACGGTACGTATAAAGGCGGACGGGCAGAGGCGTACCAACATACTCAACCACTTCCATCTTCTTGTTTTTCTTCTCATGTCTCGACTAGCTCTTTTCTTGACGTTCACCACCTCCCTCGCATCGGTCTTTGCGGCCGAACTTGTTGAGAGGGACACAACCGATACTTCTGTTCATGCGTGAGTTGATCCATCTCCTCATGAATAGGCCGCGTCTGATATGGGAATGTGTTTACAGAGGCGGATACACACCTTCGGTGAGCCTTCCTCCCGTTCTACAGCGCTCTGCGGGGGAATGAACGTTGTATCCAGCGACAACTTGCCTCTATGGCAATTATCGCGTTTGCGCAGTCGGCGATTGTGTCCTTGATCCACTTCTTCTGGGTCCGACCGATGAAAGTCTCTCTGCTTACTTACACCGTCGGAATGTTTGGTGCGATACGAAACCACGTTCAGGTGTAGCTGACTTACTGACGATTTCCAAGCGCTCACTGCTGGTTTCCTTCTCCGGGCCATGGACACGGTTGCGCCTTTCCAGCTGTGGAAGTACATCACCTGGGACCTGGTGTGTTATATCCACTCTCGATGCGCAGAGCGTGCCTCGCTAATATTGCTTGCAGCTGACTCTTCTCTCGGTACCTATTCTCGCACTCACTTCGGAACCAGCACTGATAGTCCTGCAGCCCAGTTTCTTTATTGCCACATGCTACTTTCTGCTTGCTCACTTGGGCAATACGTTCGACCCTGATGTCGTCTCGCGGTCCCTTGCCGTCAGCCCCTCGCGCATCATGACGTTCTTCGTCGGGAGCAACCTCGTCAGTTTCCTGCTCGAGGGCGGTGGTGGAGCCATGACTCATTCGCAAAACGGCTCTGTGGCGCAAACGGGTTCCAAGGTACTTGGGGTCGTCCATCCGCATGTAGATTACAGATGTGACCTGGCTTTCGCAGATCGTCTTGATCGGATTCATCCTCCAGGCCGCGACGCTCCTCCTCTTCATTTTCCTTTTGATTTCTTTCACTACCCGAATGTACGGCCGATCTCTGCATGTACCCCGTCTCACTCTCTGATTCACGACGCCAGGTCCACTGACTACCCCCATCTCTGGAAACCCGACCACGTGGCCAAGTGGAAGATGATGTCTGCTGGCCCGATCGAGAACTGGCGCCTGCTTGTCTACATGATCTTCATCGTCTGCGGCGGACTGCTGGTGAGCACCGTGTACCGCGTGGTCGAATACATCGGAGGGTGCGTGTTCTTCACCTGGCAGCAAGAATGTCTCGGTCTGACTCGTTATTACAGATACAACGGGACCGTTGCCAACAAAGAGTTGTATTTCTACCTCTTTGACGCCCTGCCTCTCGCCATGACCACTTCGATGTTCATCACGCTCTGGCCGGCACGGTTCCTCCACCATCAAGGACACCGTTATTCTCTGCGCGGCGAGCCGAGCCACGAAGCCCTTAAACTTAATTCCTTCACCGAGGCTTAAATGACGATCCACTTCTTTCTTCGGACTCGGCGTTATCTGCCTCCACCCACATTCGTTTATTTTCCTAATTATCTCTATATTCATATGTTATTTATACGACTGGGAATGGACTTGATTCACAGTATCAATAACGATATCAGACTCGGTGCAAGTCGCTCTTCTTAGAAAGTAATTTGATACGCTTATGTTGTGATTCCCTATCCCACCCTTCTCGGCTCTCACTTCCAGCAGCTGCTTAGAGGCCTACATCCTTCGAAAATTCATTTCACCAGACTGTCTATTAGCGGTTTGGGGACCTTCCCTGTGGGTTTGCGCTTTCCATTCGCATTCTACGTGGAATATACTTCAGCCAGGTGTAGCAATATGGATAGACCACGGATCGCATAATCACCGGCGTCAAAAAAGTTCGGCGACATTATTGGTACTATTCTCTGTCCTGTGAGGTCCCCTCTGCCTTGCAGGCTTGAACTGGAAGTGGCGATGCAGCCGATCGACTACCTTCTACACCAAAGAGTGAGAGCAGGACGAGCAAGCACCAAAACCGACTTACCTGGGTGTTGTACAGGTCGAGATCCGCAATCTTCAGATGCTCGGCATAATGCTCTGACACTCGGCGGGCCAAGACACGATGCACCCGCTTGTCACTCATGTCCTTGAATTGCCCTCGTTGTACGAACTCCTCGTCCGCGGCTTCTGTTGGATCGACAATATTGGCCCGATTGGGCAGCGCGTATGGATCCAGGACAAAAGGACAGTCGGGTCCAGGGCATTCCCACACCGTGCTGCCTTCATACACGAACAACGGTGCACTGATCCATGTTGGAATCGACGGCAGAGATCTTTTGTTGGGGTACTTGCAATCCAGAACGACCTCCTCGGATTCGGATTCGCTGCAATCTGGCGTGCTTTCGACAGACATGCTAGAGTCATAGTCGAAATCCTGCTTATCCCTGCCACCGCGGAGGAAAGGGTCTAAGGCTTCCTCATCGTCGACCGAGGGTGCGACCAGCTGCGCAGGTCAGTTGGGTGTGAAGAACGAGTGCGGGAAGCACGCACATGCGGATCTTCGAGTATCTTTCTATCCAGCAACTTCTCCCACTCATCCACAGTCCCACCAAACTTCGCCAGCGTCAACGCGATCGAATGCGCGTCACCAGCAGTTCTCGAGTCCCAGATCTCGTTGTCTTCGTAGGTGCGTCCCCATTGCCCGTTATTGAGGCTCCTCCGTGCAGCCTGTGTCTTTCCGATGAACTCACACCAGACACGGACGTTCAGGTAGCAGTTTCTGGAACGGATGTAAAACCCCAAAAGCCAGGCAGCGTGCGCGGCGAATTCACTGCGTATTTCGGCTCGCGAGAGATGGCGTAGCCGGCCCTCGATAGCCACCTGGTCCGGCTGAGCCGCAATGGCCCGGTAGGACAACCTCTCCCGCTCGTGCTTGATGAGATATGCGTTCTCCAGGACGTCCATGTCCAGACTGTATAGCGTCAGGTTGTATGCTGGATCGGAGACAATTTCGGAGATGAGTGCGACGAGGCGGTACCGGGCGAGGAAGTTGCGGCTGAGCTGGTACGTGGGCGCGTCCATGCTGATGATCTCGTACGTGCGCTGCTGGTCCTTCGAGTGCAGCAGGAGACTCTGGGTGTACCGCTTGTCTGTCATCGCCACTCAGCCGCGAAGGCACTGAAGTCGACCGACATACCGGTCTTGAAAGACGCCTCCATCTGCTTCTCGCATCTGAGCCACAGTCGCAGTCGGATAGGGTCTTTCATGTTGCGCGCCGCGCGGAGCACATTTTCCAGCTTGATAGCGCGAGTTGGAGGCCCGGCATGTCGCTGTAGCTCGCTGTCCCTCATCCCCAGCTGCGCATCGATCATCTCCCGTCCACGCGCCGAGAGCCACGAGAGGTTCTGCACGACGAGTATGCCCCAGAAGTGGACCGTCGGCGAGGGCTCGATGGGCGGCTTGAGGTTTCGATCTGTCTTGTCCAGGCTTGCTCAGGGTGCAGTGATGAACATGGGCGCAAGCGGCGGAGATCAGCTCCACTGTAGCGGATACTTACCCCGTTATGTTTCGGTGGATGTCTCTCATGCGCAGACGCTCTAATTTGGGGAGGGTGCCGCCCGTGGGGTGGTACGTGGGGCTGAGAACAGCAAAGTCATCGAACGGCCCCAAGGGAAGAGACAAGAGTTCTCGGAACGAAGGTAGCGGAGGCATCACAGTACTGGTTGTAGTGTGGACATCTAAGGATAGAGGTGGGTAACTTTCACGTTGACCATCAACGGCGTTTGCCGGACGCTTGATGAAATTCTATTCCAGCGCGTACTAGATGGCGCGGCAGCACACAGGCACACAAGAGGAGAGTACAAGAACATGAAATAGAAATACGAATGAAGAGTTACAACGGCAACCAGCCGGATTCGCCAGCGACACAAACTCATCGGTATTTCAGACCCAGCTTTCCTCGGATGTGACCGGTAGTGGAGGTAATGGCCGAATCTCGAGCCGGCGGGAATACGAGATGCTGACTGTGGTCGATTTCGGCAACTGATCCTGCAATGCTTCCGAGCTGGAGACGCCTGCCGGAAGTGGCGGAGAATCGAGAGGCGGCTCATCGTCAAACTCGGCGGTTGCAGCATTGACAGGCGCTGTCAGCTCAGCATTGCGAGCAAAAGTCATGCCGAATTCTGACGGTGACTCATCCTCAAACTCTGTCGTCGCGAAAGTCGAGGTCAGACCGGGATTGCGCGCAAAGTGCATGCTGGCATTGTGTCGAGGTGAGGCGGCGTCTCTCGCTGAGCTGTTCTTGAAGTAGATCGGCTGTGTCGGGGTCCCGCTGCCGACAAAGGTTTGGTCGCAGAACGTCGAGTCGTCAAGCGACTTGGACCTGTTGACGAGGAGGAGTACGATGCATGGGTACGCACCCTATTGGTCGTTCAGGACTGATTGAGGCAAGGTGATGGAGCACTTGCCGCGATCTGGACGTTGATTGGAGTGTATATGTCTCCAAGAGTACCGTGCGGAAGTTTGATCAGAGCAGACATGAGCACGATGAACTGCCAAATCAGTGACAAAAATAGATGCGAGACGGATGCTTACTGCAGAGACACAGTACAGAGACTAGAGTCTCCGTCAGTTGTTACTGGAAGGGAAACATGATGAGCACTTACGCCAGTCTCAACAACGAGCATCAAGATATGACTTGTCCTCGCCGACCCAGCTTTCTTTTCCGAAAAGGCCATCGTGAGATTGAGGTAATGCCGCCTGAGATCGTCAGCGACCAGGTGCGCAGCGCAGCATGATGGAAACCGACATACCATGCAGTCAAGCCCACAACGCCCGTAGCAGTCAGGTTTGAAAACAAAGACGTGAACAGAGTGAGCACTTGTAGGATGTTGATCGCGCGACCGAGCATGTCGTTCGTAGCCGGGTCTTTGACGGGCGATATCACTAGCCCTACGATTCGGAAAACGATGGTGAGCAGGACGGTCACTGCGTGCGCTCAGTGAGGTCGTGCCAACAAGCTTCGAAGGACGCACAGGCAGTGAGCACCAGAAATCCGATTGTGATCCACAAGTATTTCCTTTGGTTTCGCAGACAAATGATCCACGCTCTCCACACGACTACAGCGTCACTCAGAACGTACTGTTGCCTCAAGTCAGTGGTGTTCTAGTCCAGACTTGGAGGCTGGCAAGAGTACATTGATCAGGGTGAGTGCGTTCCACAGCGGCGACGAGAACGTGACAGTTGTGAGTTGAGGCCGAGGGAGGAGCGGATGCTTGGCCAGTTTCGCAAATCCGTTAAGTCGGTCCATCCCATCGGCGATATTGTAGAACCAATAAGCGGCGGACAGAAGGTACATGAAAGCCGTGATGCCGAACATGACTTGGTTCAATCTCGTGTTCAATCTACGCTCGCTGCGCACGGGTTGAGACGATGAGGACGATTGATGCGTAGGAATGCGACGCACAGAAGCATTTTCGTCGACATGAATGCAATGATGGTGTAGAACCCTGCAACTCATCAGCCTTGTGAAGTCAAGCAAGATATGAGAGCACACCGAAGAACAAGGTCTGCAGAAACAAACCAACAATGTAGTAGTTGACCGTCAGACTCTCGTCATCGATAATCGCGTCGATTTGAGCTTGAAGAAACGGCACAGTGGGAGCCATGGCATGCAAAAGAATGTGCAAGCGGATTCGGAAGGAAGCGTCCGCGACGGATAAAAGAAAAGGAGGAGCCTCCCTCACTGAAGGAGAGCCCGCGGAAGATGAAGAGGGTGTAACGAAAGAGGATGGAACGGAAACGACATGGTGGACACTTGATAGATGCAATGCCACACGATGTCGAGAATCCTTCCCGTTCGGCGTCCCAAGGTCCCCTCAGATCCATCAGGTACTGCATCATCAACGTCAAACCTGCTTCCGCTCCCAATCGATGTTTCATCTCATCGTTGACTCGCAACCGTGTCGCACAGGCAGGAATTTCAGTGTGCTGGCTCGCATTGGGCGGACAGGCGAACTTGCACCATTTCTGGTTGTGGTAGAACTCGGTGCAGACATGTTTGACCCCAATATAGCTTATAACGGAGATTGAGCTGAGGCGTGCATACTTAGTATGCAATGAAGCATGTCATGGCAGTGATGGCACCCACCACCGAGCGGACAATGAAAATCGTGATCGGATCACAGTATCAGCTGGCTGCTTTCAGCCTTTTACCAAGACTCAGTTCGCCGTCTCGTATGGGCGCTTGTCTGTGACATCCTCGGTGTTTGAGCGATACAAGTTAAACGATTATGTCTCTCATGCAATCGATCATCTTTGTCCACGTACACGGCGACTCTCACGCAACACTCAAAATGACATCTCGAAAACGACACGCACGCAACGCAGCGGCTACACCTGGGAGAGAGATATGCGCTGTGAATGGAATTGTGTTGGTGCGAAGACTCTCAAAAAGCGTAATGAGGAGAGTCAACGTACCGCTCTGCTATAGATAACGGAGCGGTGGGGGTACGTCCGTCTTGAGCTTCCATGGACCTTTTTAACGGCGTTAGATTAAGATTTTAAGCGCCGAAGCCCCGTAGGAATCTCTGTCTATCGATATCGCCTCGTTCCACTATGACACTGGCGGGCATGCCAGGCATACAAATAGCTCTTGCATCGGCACGAGTCTACCTCACCTTCCTTGGCGAAGCAGACTGAGTAACGATGCCTCGCAACTTCCGCGAAAAGGTCGACGTGACCAAGGATATCAAGGGGATCTTGGAAGCTTACCCGTATGGCAATGGGATTCTGCGCGAGCTATTGCAGAACTCAGACGACGCAGGGGCACGTTCGCAGGTGCGCTCAGGTCAAAGTTTATATCTTGAGCTGATGACATGAGCCAGATCTTCATTCTTGACACTCGAAATCACCCATGCGCGACCCTCGTTGACAAGGAGTTGATTGCCTCGCAAGGTCCAGCGCTCGTCGCCATCAACGATACACTGTTCTCCGAGGCTGATTGGCAAGCTCTGAGCAATCTGCGAAGCTCGAGCAAAGTAGCCGATGAAACGCACGACTTTCCTCTGTTCTTTATGTCTATGCTGATGATGACGCAGGAAGACTGGCAGGTTCGGGATTGGAGTCAGAGCTTGTTACCATGTCAGTCTTCCATACCAGTGCTCAATGGCTATTTACGGACGGCGCTTCTACAGGTCACCGATAACCCCCACTTTCTTTCCGGGCGCACACTTGTCATCTTCGACCCGCACCATCGATTTTCCGGAGAGAACAGTGGGGGTGTCAGGCTTGACGCTGTGACCGAACGAACGACATATCCCGACCAATTCAGGCCGTTTGACGACTGCGACTCGGAAGGAGCTTTTGACGGTACCATTGTGCGGTTACCGCTGCGAGACAATGGAGCGAGGAGCAAGATCAAAACCGAGCGGGTCACTGTGGACGAAATCCGATCGCTGTTCGATAGTTTCGTCAAGCAAGAACTGAGCACGGTGATGCTCTTCCTCAAGCACATTCTTTCAATCACCTTGAAAGTTGTACTCCCTGATGGCAGCGAGGAGCTTGTTGGCCGGGCAGAGGTTGTTCTGAATGCAGAGGATATCGTTAAGCGTGAGTTTTTGGTCGAAGAGGATGAACGTACCGCGTCGTTTCACTGCGCGATTCGGGTGGATGTCCCCCAATCCTCGTCCAATTCCCAGACTTGGCATGTCTTGCATTCAGCCCGAGATAGAGCGTCGACCGCTTCGTTGATTGGCGCCAAGCTCGGGTACGACGTAGAAGAAAAGCTGCGGGCCGACAAACTGTTCGCGCATGTCGCACTCGCGTTCCCGGTCTCTCTCTCTGACGGATTCCGTGGCCGCCTGTTCACCCTTCTCCCGCTGCCCATATACACCGAGTTCCCGATGCATGTCCATGCCATCTTCACATTGACTCAGGACCGTCAGAGCCTGCGGAACATCAACGAAGTCGGGGCCGCGAGAGAGAAGCAAGTTCTTTGTCCCGCCGGTTTCGAATTGACTGACGAAGACCGGCAGATTACTCGTTACCTGGAACCGAATGATCTTTGACCAGCTCTTACCGGATGCATGGGCTTCGTTCCTGCTGCAGGCAACATCCGCTGGGTGGTGGGCCTGGCCGCCAGCGGCAACACTTTCGGAATACTGGGCTCAGATCTTGCCTAATCTGATCCGAGTGGTGCTGGCCCAGGATATGTCAATCTTCCCTCAGCCAGATGCAGTCAACGTACCTCTCTCGGCGGCTCTGCTCGCTTTGAACGATGCGGATCCGGGTGTTTTGATGGTCCTCAGGGAACTCGGTATCTGTATCGTCCAGCCACCGCAGTACATCACGGAGCAGATATTTGCCATCGAACCGGGCGCCACTAGGATGACTCCCACCACTGTGCGGGCTGCGTTGCTGGCAAGTACATTCTAGCGCTTCGGGTCTTCCTTTGCTAATGCTACCGCATAGAACAATCTACAAAGTCTTGCTCAAGTTTCCGAAGCAAAGAAAGACCACCTCTTGCGATATCTTGTCGAATCACCAGGGTCACCCGCCTGCATCTTTGGGCTCCCTCTTCTTCCATCATTCGACGGCCCGCGGGTGTCGTTGATGCCAAAGCAACCCTACGTGCTGGTCGATGCTCAAGCAGGCCAGCTTTTCGGCGATTCCAGTGTCAACGGTTCATTGATCGCACTGGAACGGCTGCCCGTTGGTGTCGACCAATTCACTTTGTTTCCTGGGCTCAACTTCTCGCGATTTGGTCTTGCTCAAGTCCAGGTTCATCTGCAAGGATCGGAGTATTATCGTTCTGCTTCTGACGAAGCAATCTGCACCGACGCGCAAAGGATTTGGCTGCTCAAGTTCTGGCAATGGTTGGCCTCATCCCCCATATATCGATCTTCCTGGCAGATCCTCTCGCGCTTTCACCTGCTCCCCACCACCCGCAGCACTCTTCGACGACTCGACTCTCTTGTTCTCTCACCCATGAAAGATTCGGGAACCCAGTGTGCCTGGGAAAACCTTGGTGTACCGTTCTTGGATCCTAGCTTTGCAGACTGTGTCGTCGAGGCTGCCCTTGCTGACACGGAAGACGTCAAGTTCATGCTGGAGTGCATCACGGTCGATCCATCGGCTTTGTCGACCGATCAACTCGGACTAATCCGGGAGCATCTCACCGTTTGCCTCCGGACTGGTCGCAAAATCTCTCTCGAGACAAGGACGCGCGAAGTTTATCGCCAACTGCCGATCTTTCCGACCCGAGTTCCACACGAAGGCGCATACCCAAGATCACAAGTTGTCTATGGGGCCGTGGCCTCGACCGTGATCTGTGTGGCTATCGAGGACTCGCATGCGATCCCTTTCCCAGAGGCAGACTCTACTTTCGTCGACGCCACACATCGTAGCAGGAGTCTTGTCGCTCTTCTCGACGCTCCCACCTTCAGTGCGCCGTTGTCTGAATGCGGCGTCCTGGAGATGTGCATACTCCAAGAACAACTTGTGAACCAGCCCCCATCCATCTTGAATACCCTTCTAGATCGTATCGTGCATCGCCTGTCTGATCTGTCCGATGCAGCCAAAGAACGACTCAAGAACACCCCATTCGTCACCGTTGATGGTGTGTCCCAGCGCATGGCACCCAAAGACCTGATTCATCCACGGTCGCCCTTGGCTCAGCTGTATTCAGGCGAGCCAGGGAGGCTGCCGTCCGGGAAATGGGCTTCCGGCATCTATCTCACTCAAATCACAAGCCACGTGCCGTTCCAGTCCAGTCTGACCCGGGACATGATTGAGGAACGGATTGCCTTCGTGGCAGAGAAGGGGGATCCCGTCAAAGCGAGGCATCTCCTTGCCCTGGTGGATCAGGAATGGTCATCTCTCAGTGCAGACGACTTGATCGTCCGATCCCGCGACGTGTGTTGGATCCCTTCCCAGTTCGGAGTGGATGGGCTAGTGACACTGGAGGCGCCTCCAAAGTGTCGCGGCCACGGGGATGATCGACACCTTTTCGACTTGGTACTGCACACGAGCGATGCAGACCCCATCAAGAGTCCGGCATTGCGCCAGGCATTGGGTTGGGGCCGCGTGGTTCCTGTCGATGTTTTGAGACAACAGTTGGAGAAGACTCTCGATCTGAAGGACGCGAGGACCGCAACGCGCATGCGGGCTCTCATTTTGGCGTTTGCGGATGTCCACGCCGACGAATGTCCCGCAGCCATCTTGCAGTCTATCGTCGCGGGGCGGCCTTGGATCCCGGTGCGAGATGAGCTGATTGAGACGAGGCATGCGTTATTGGAGCGGGCGTCTCGGCTAGATCGAATCGGCGGGTTTCGCGTTTTGCCGAGAACGTTTTCGGACGATGCCAATGTGGTGGCGTTCTTGAAGAGGATGGGGTGCGATGCCACGTGCGTGTTTGTTCTCGACTTTCGTTTGCTGCTCTCATTCTTTCATTGAAAGGCCGAGTCTCGAAACGCTCCTGTCCGAGCTACATTTGGGTGTCTCCGCGATATCTCTCTTGCAGGCGATCGCCCCGTTACTTGTTGACTGCTCAGCGGCTGAATTCGGGAGGGTCGTTGTCCCAGACGATCAAGGATCCCTGCGTCCGATCGTAGAGCTGTACTATCCCGATACTACCTCCGATCCTCTCATGCTCCTTGAGCGATTCCCAACCCATGCGAGCATATCCAAATCCGATGCGGTCTCGTTGAGAATCCCGTTTCTGAGTGCACTGCATCTGGACGGAGACGAGGGCGAGGACGAGGACGAAGATCAAATGGGAGAAGACCTGACCACGCGGGTCTCCAACATCCTCAAGGACTATGCGATCAACTACGCCTTGAACGAGTTCCTCGCCAATGCTATCGACGCGCATGCCACCCAGTTCTCACTGCTGCTGGATGGAGGCTCGTACGAGGACGCGCGCGTGATTGCTCCCGGCTTGGCGGATCTGCAGACACGACCGGCGCTGATTCTGTGGAACGACGCCGTGTTCGATGCATCTGACTTCGCTGGGATCAGGAAGGTCGGACAGGGAGGCAAGACGGACAATCCGCACAGCATCGGTCGGTTCGGACTCGGTGCGCTCAGCCTGTTCCATTTCGGGGACATAGTGCAGATCGTGTCTGGGAAGAGTCTGCTTGTGCTTGACCCGACGGGGCGGTACTTGCCTCCGCTGAAAAAGAGCGGAAAACCCCGCACGGCGCTGCTTCGATCGCTGAGTGATGTAGCGAGAAGGTGGCCGGATCAGTTGGCCCCGTTCGAAGGAGTGAATGGGTTCAAGATAGAGAACTTGGAGTATCGTGGGGTGCGTGGCTGGTTTTCCCGCCGAGTCGCCGCTGAGATATGTGTTCCCCCAGACGTTGTTCAGAATAGCACTGCGCACATCGAGCAGTGCGCTGGCCGTAAAACCGGTCTCCAGTTCTCAGTGCTTGAACTTGATCACCGCAAACTACTTTCAGCTCGCCAGGGATGCTATGTATTTCACACCTCTGGTGCGAATACAGGCCTCGAAGAAAGCGCCGGTATGTGCTCGTGCATTTCAGTCTACTGCTCCTGACATGGGTTTGTAGGGCAAAGTGTCAGCGCTGTGGGAAGTCTCTGCCAGGAGAAACCCACTGGTGGCTCAAGACACCAATCACGAGCACCAGATTCTCACAGTCCAAGCGAGCAAGCATGCCACACAACACTGGGTTGTCTCGAAGTCTGTGACGTCCCTATCCGACGTTCCTCCTGAGCACATGCCGTCCGTCACACGCAAGGCGGATCTGGTAGTGCAGATGGCTATGAAGCTCCCCAATCGCGCGTTGAGCGATGGACGCCAGCACAAGCGAGCACTGTTCTCATCCCTCTCGCTACCCATCGAGACGTCTCTTTCCGCCCACATCTCAGCTCCTTTCGCACTGTCCCCAGATCGCAGGAACATTCGGTTCGAGCCTGCCGATGGATCGGGGCGGAGAGTCCCTGATGCAGCGTATAATGTGTGGATCCTGCGCGAGCTGGTGCCGCGAGTCCATCTTGCGCTCGTTCATTGCGCAACGGATGCAGCCACCCGGAAAGTCGTCGCGGACTTGGGACCAAGCTTCTCGCCGTTCCAGTGGTGGCCGGTCCGTCCCAGCTCCAATGGTGGTGTCTCGCACGATTCGATCTCGCGCCTGGTCGTGGAGGGATTCTACAGACATGCCTGGGACTGCGAGTTGCCGATATGCAAGATCGTCAGCGGCGAACTGGCACCTCCCAAAGAGATCCTCGTCATGCCAGCTGGCAGCTGGACTGTCGGAGACGTCCTCGAGAAGCTCATGAGAGGGAAGCCGGGATCCCGATTCGCTGTGCCGCCCACTGAAGTGCACCGCCTGTTCCTGCTTGCCAAAAAGGACAGCGCCCAGTCCAAGAATCTGGTCGATTCGTCCTTTGTCAAGGCTGCACTCGAGACTCACGGGGAAAAGCTGGTCGAGTTGTATGAGAAAGGGGAGCACGGGATCACCACGGCGGCTGTCCACGCGATGGTCTTGTTTCTTGGATCTGTGTCGATTCAAGGACTCCCCTTGCTGGCCCTGGCTTCCCCAGGCCGCCGCTTAGTCTGTCCTGATCCCGCGGTCGTCCGTTACATCCATCACGCCCCGGGGGCCTATACGGGACTCTTCTCACCCGAGACGTTTCTCGATCCTGTGTCGAGCGAGGTGCGGGATCTGCTGCTGAGTGGTGTGAGCGATGCCAACGTCAAGCTTTTTGATGCCGCGGGCGTTCTGGAGCTCCTGAGAGAGAAAATCCCACCGGCGACCCGCTCGACACAACGCGGAGACACAGGATTGGATCGCTCGCTTCTGGGATGTCTATCCGACACTTCCGGGTCCTCCGGCGCAAACATCGTTTGCTGACCTGCCGCTGATCTCGACCAACGAGGCAGACCAGTTTCTGTCCGAGTCGTTCTGCCAGTCGAATGATCGCGTGTTTTCTTATCCTGTGAAGGAGGCCCCGGCTTTGTTGGCTGTGATGGGGAAACTGGGGATGTTGTTTTGTATCAAGGCGTCAATTGTCAAACCATTCGACATCAACACATTCTTGGAAGCGGTCAGGACCACACGCGAACCACTTTCGGCGCTGGATTCCGAGGAGGTGCAGAAGGTCGCGCAGTGGCTCACGCTGCATCTGAGCCAATGCACGGGCTCGGTTCGCACTGTGCTCGCCGGCCTGCCCATCTGGATTGCACGTGATCGCTGGACGGTGGTCAAATCGGCGGCGGATACGTGTCTGCTGATGCTCCCCAGAGGAGTGCACCCGGGTTCGTTCAACCGTTATGTTCGCAGTGGAGTCGCTCTGGCCGGGTATAGCCCGGCGTTGCATACTGTGCTGCAGTGGTGTCGCAAGAGCCCCAGCGGTGCGGTGGATCGGGAATCTCTTCTAAGAGCACTGCAGCTTCCGACTGCCCTGCACAGCCCCGGTGATGTCGAAGCGTACCGCGAACTACTGAAGGCGTTCCTCGATGTCTCATCCAAGTCGTCAGCGATGGCAATGATACCCATCCCCGCTGGTGACCTCCAGCTGCGGACCGTCGACAGTCTGTACGACAACGAGGTGGAGCTATTCGCCGGGGCCCTGCGAAGCCAGAGTCAGAGCCTGTTCGTGCACCCCTCGTTTCGCCAGTTTCAGGACCGACTGGCGCTGCGCCGCGAACCAGTTGACCGGGATGCGTTTCTGCTGTGTGCGAGGACCGTGCACGAAGACCTGACAGAGCGTGGTCTGGCTGAAGACGAGGTTCTGGAGCGCGCTAATCTCGTGTGGGCGTTCTATTCGGCCCACGAATCGAGGCTGGGTGTGTCGCCCGGGTCATGGGAGTCGTCTGATCGGCTGCGTTTCGTGGTGCGGGCCGAGACGCGTTCCACGTCGTCCACGTTCCCGGTGCTGGACCAATATCTAGACGACAAAGATCCCCACAGGATTGTGTCCCCAAATGAGCTGCTGAAGGCGGAGTACGAGCCGATCGCTTGGACGCAGCGGGTGTTGTTCAGGGAAGAACCGAGCTGGCAGCTGACAAGGCTGAATCCCTCACTCGGGGTGCCGTCTGTTGAGCAAGTGGTGAGTGAATAATCATGTAGATTGTGGTGCCTGTCTCACATCGCATCTGGCAGGTCAAGCATCTCCGGGTGCTAGCGCTAGAAATCGCACCCCATCATGAACACAACCGCTCCCTCCTCGCGCAGATCCGCAGCACATACAAGTGGCTGAACTCTCACTGCACTTCTGCGCGGGAGTATCTGGTGCAGCACGAGCAGGACGCCCTATTCCTGAACGTCGCAGATCCAGAGGACAGATCCGAGTCCTGGCACTGGCGCAGCGCCGCACAGCTGGTGTTCGACATCCCGCGGGACTTCCCGAATTCGTTCCGTGTGCTCGAGTTTCTGCTGGAGTGGCGGGTGCTGGTCGTCGCTGCGGGAGGGAGTGTCGAGCGCGACGTGGAGGAGGATCCCTCCCTCCTGGACGACGACGAGGGCGCAGATGGCGGCGATGCGCTGCGGCGTGCGTTTGACGGCATGCGGCAGAGCGGGGAGCTGTGTGATATGTGGCTGGTGCCGACGGATGACGCAAGCGCCACGGACGAGCCCGACGATGAGCTTCGTGTGCATTCGGCGTTCCTGGCTGCTGCGATCCCGCATGTCAAGATCGGGCTGCTGGGTTGGAGCGAGGGAGTGAGCAGAGTGTATGAGTTTCCTGGGACGCGATTCGGTGCGCTTGCGCTTATCGGTGCGTGCCCTCCTTTTTCTTGCCGATTTCCAGCTCTCATACTGATGATACCCGTTTGTTGTTCATACAGAATTCATCTACACTGGCCAGATCTCACATGTCGTAGCCTCCTGTGACGGAGAAGCAATATTGCTGGTAGAAAATTTGCTCGCGCTTCTCTCCGTTGCCGACCTGTGGGACATGCCACAGTTGAAGGCGGAGGTGATGCGTATCGTCCGGGCCAACAAGCTGCTTTCGCGAGATACGTATGCACGGATTCACGAGGCAGCGGAGGATTCTCGGGACGAGCGGCTGGTGTCATATTGTGAGAAGTGGAGGGAGATCAATCCGAACGCAGTGTTGCAGCTATGAAAATGTCTGATTTCCGGGACTGCTTTCAAGTTTAGGTTGGAAGGCTGACGCGGTCACTCGACTCTCTTGTGGATCTTGCGACTGAGACCAGGCGTGGATGTTTGTAGTATGCTTGGCATCCATTCCAACGTCCATTAGATTACAACGCACATATTCCACATCACATACAACTGCGCATTTCTGTTCCGCCGCTTGAGCAGCGATCCAACTCGAATCTGGTGTCCTGCGTTTCTTCGTGACCTTGGCATCGTTCTGTAAAGTCGCTTCGGCCCGGCGGCGGGAGTCTGGCCGCTCGTCGTTTACGTTCGTTCGCAGTCCCAGCAGCGTAGGCACTACCACCACTGGACACGCCGGTATCGGTGCTAGCAAGTGACATACCGGAGCCTGCGCCGCTACCAGATCGCTCAGGGACGCGCACAGTAGAGCGACCACCGGTGCCACTGCGACCGCCGAGTCTGGTGCGACTGCCGCCCGAGACACCGCTCGTAGCACGAGCTCCATCGAAACCGGCATGGGAGTCGGCGATGCTCTGTGGTGCAGAATACGGGACGCTGCCGTCGTCGGTGGGTTGGACCATATCGTTCCAGCTCGCGAGGCAGCCGGTGAACTCTACGACGACCTTCAAGGGGCTCATTTTCGTGGACGTCTGAACGGGGGCGGCCGTCACCGGCTCCGGGGGCAGCGTGAAGCCAAACAAACAGAGTGTGCTGACCGGTCGAGCAGTGCTTCCTAGCTCCATCCAGTGTGTATTGTGCAGAAACCACCATTTCCTGACGAATCTTGGTGTCTCCACCTCGGGTTTGGGCATGGTGCTCAACATCTCCTCGACACTAATCATACCATGAAAATACTTGTCGATCGTGTTGTCCCAAACTTGAAGGCTGTTCCCATCGTCTACGCGACGAGATTCGTGCGTATTTTGAATGGAGCGATGGCCCGAGCCAGGCTTCGACCCGCGCGGAGTACCCCTTTGACCTTGGGCTGCTGTAGAAAAGTCCTTATGAAGATTATTATGAGGAGCGACGATAACGGACATACAAACAGCGCCGAAAGGGTTTTGCGGGGTAGCTGGGCGGACGGGAGGGCTTTCACCCTCAGGCTGCTCAACGAGATCAGGGTTCATGAGAAAAAAGAGCGAGCGAAGATAAACACATCAGTCGCGGTTTTATATGGATCTACGCGGCCAGATCGGACCAATCATGCAGGGAGAGCGACGCGCTTTCAGTACGGCGGTTGTTCAGAAGAAGCAAGGCCAGATGTCTCACGTGCTTTCGGCGTGACTGATCTACTCATCCAATCAGGGTCGAGAGCACTTCCAGAGGGACCGGAGCCAAAGTTGTGATCTGGCTGACACCGACGAGGGGAAGGTAGGCTATGACGTCTCAGAGCTGGGCGCCGGCAAAAAGGTTCTGTCGGTGGCACTGGGCAGAGGTTTAGCTGAGCGAAGGATGGACGTCGAACAGTGTCACCATGACTCGTCTCGTCACGGCCTCACGCACATAGGCCCGTTCTCTTCTTCCACTCTCGAGACACACACGCCGCCATGTACAGATGATAAGAAAGCAGTGGTGCCAGACCCATGTTGGAGATGGCTGGAAATACTAGAGACCGACCCGAGTTCACTTTTAACGACTTGCAAGTTGCTGCCCGCCTCGAACGAGGCACATCATCCGACTATCAAGGCTGAAACTTCTGCCCTGTTCTCTGACCCCTTCGGGGTGTCATACGAAAAATTGGAACGATACAGAGAAGATTAGCATGGCCCCTGCACAAGGATGACACGCTTTTCCGGAGTGGTAGATCTACGGATCTCAATATTTTTCTATTTCATCCACTTGCTACCCTTAGACTTCATTCGGAGTTTGCACTTGATGTGACAGTATCTCGCTCGTTTCCTAATCATTTAGACAGTCTACTGACTCTACTCTCAAAATTAGGCATTCTAGTGGACAATGTCGAGATCTCCCAGTCCGAAAGTTACTAGCGGATCTTGGTCAATTCTTTTGCAGTCAGGTGATGCGAAACTGGTCGGATAGCTAACCATTAGTCGCAAACTTTGAATACTTTACTGATAGATTGGTACGGCGTAAACACGGACATTACTCCATGATAGGTCAGGATGGGCCGCCCAAGCCCCTACTGGACATGCACAGGATGCCCCAAATAGACCCAACAGCGAGATGAGCGCCGAGGGCTCATTCATCGCTGAAAAGTGAGGTACAGGTTAATCGATACATCATTCACAACGGCGAGTCCTATGGATCCGGATCCGGCTCAGGATCCCCCATAAGCAGCGTGTGGAAGTTCGGAAACACCAGTTCCTCCTCCACCGTCTTCCTGATCACATCCTGGATGAACCGCTCGACCCGCGTGACGTTCTTCAGCACGTGTTTGTCCGTCTGCCCAATCTCAGTCTCAATCAGGATCGAGGGCAGCAGCCGCTGGCCCACGGGCAGAGGCTTCGCCGTCCGCGGGTACGAGGCCCCCAGCGGCGCGTCGACGGCCGACTCTGGGTAGGCGTCCGGGGGCGTGATGTCGGCAGAGTCGCGCCGCGGACGTGGGGCTCCGGCGGCGGGCCCGTACGGATCCAGATCGTCCAGGATGCACAGGTGCATGCGTTTCCGCGCGCCTTCGTATGCGACGGCGACCTCCCCGGTGAACACCAGCCCCGTGACACACAGCTTGATGGGGAGCGACATGAATAACGGGGTAGGGTAGTTGATCAGCAGGGACGTCGTGAGTGTGAGCCGGAGGTCTGAAGGCCAGTGGATGTGCAGATGAAGCTGCAGATTCGGCTGGGCATTGGTGGCTGGCTCTGGCAAAGCCGGGGAAGCGGGTGACGGATTTGGCGGAGAAGGGTCTTTTGTGGACACCGAAGAGATGGACGGAGACGGTTCTCGATTAGTAGACAGCCGTTGGAATGCATGGAATGGCGGGGCAGAAAGCGGACTGCGGTAGATGGGCGAGTAACCAGAGTACACCGGGCCCATACTAGGCCCCAAGCTTGGCAGACTGCTCATACCCCCGTTCCACAAGTCCGGGCTCGATCGCAGTGAGGGCACAGAGGAAAACATATCCGTCGTCGCGCCCGCCGTTCGAGGCCCGTAGCGCACATGCGGAGGGAGGTGTTGGTAGCCAAGCGCGTCTTCCCGCGTTGCTGCGCGCCGCGAGACCCATTCAAATCCGTCATCGTCTTCCACGCCCGCTCCCTCTGTCGCTTTCACCGGCTCTCCGCCCGACTCCGACTCATTGTCTTCCAGGAAGTCGCGGTATATATCACGCAGGTCGACGAGCTCGACATCCGGTGCCCTCGAGCCGAACTCGAAAGCGGCGACTTCGACTGGTCCGATAAATGACGGACGTGGTGTGCTTTTGAGTTGTCGATTGAGAAGCTCAATCAGCGAGGTGGCTAGAGAGTTGTCAAGCTTGCCCCAGTCGAGGTCGATGGACATGCCAAGAAAGGAAGTGGTCACAACATGACCAAGCAACGCCTGGTCACTCGAATCGGTAATTTTGTTAGATATTCGTGAAGACAAGCAGAGGCATCTTCCGGAGTCTCCATAGATGGCCCTGTGTGGAGCACGGAATCTGGTTTCAGTGGCTATTCTAGTGGTTCTCAACTCTTGAGCTCTGCCTCAGACGAAATACAGTGGAATCCGACAGAGATCAGGTTACCAGTCCGAAACACACGATTAGTACGTTCATGAACAATCCAAGAACGTTGTTGCAGTCTCATATCGCTCATTACGAAGCTGTAAGCTAGTTATCCACGTCTATTGACCTCATGCCAGAACAAAGGCAGCCACGAGAGCACCCGCGGCAGCAACGCCCATCGAAACTGTGTTGGCATTTGCAGCGCCAGTGTGCGAAGCGGCAGGTGCACTTCCAGAAACGCTGGTGCTTCCACTGGGCTTGGGACCGGCACTGGGGCTCGAGCCAGCACTGGGGCTAGAACCGGCACTGGCCGTGGGAGTCGCGTTCACGATGTCGACTGTCACGGAGCCGAGGTTGGACATCGTCGTCGCGATCGCAGAGCCCGCAGAGTCAGTGGCGGTGAGGATGAGGTTGTCTCCGCTCAATGAGCCGTCGAACGTGACGAATACGTCGAGGCCAGGGACGTTCGCCGAGAGCGCAAAGGACATGTAGTCGTTGCCCTGAATCAGAGTCTCTGTGCGACGTTTGAGCGGTCATTCTAGAAGGGGCAAGTGGACGGCGCTGACCTGTGACCGTAGCGATGGTCTGCGAGGCTGAGCCCGAGACACCTTGCAGTTCTGGTACTTCCATGATGTATGTGGTGTGTCCGGCAGAGTCAACACCAGCGACAGATGCAGTCTGGATGCCATCGGACGCTCCAAATGGATTGGCGACAATCGTAACAAGAGCGGGAGCCGGGATCGCAGCAACTGCACACAAACAGAGGCATGAGCGGTGAACGACCCGCAGTCACTGCATATAATGAGACGAACCTCCGACGCTCAAAGCAGCCAAAGCGATGAAAGTGGTGGTGAACTTGGTGAACATAGCAAAGGCGTGGAGAGTATAGTAGAAGGCGTTAAAAGAAGAAAAAGGCGAAGCGAACAGACGCGGGGTTCTCCTGAGCTTTCCACGAGCGCATGCACCTCTTATATATGTACCCAGCATCACCGAGCACACGGTGGACGATTGATGGCATGATCGTAATTATCGGGCCCGCGCGTTTCGAGAATCGTTGTCATGGGTTCGGAACCCGTCCTTAGCGAGAAAGCAGGGGCGCACAGCCAAGGTCCATGGGCCATAGTACGTAAGGCTTGCGCAGCGCGTCATCGCCACGCTGCGTGCGGTGCTAAGCCATCGGGGTGCTCCTACGCGTAAGAGCCCGGATAACCCGCAACTTCACGCATCACTGCGGGCGCGAGTCAGAAGTGCCCCGTAAGCGGTCGCTTGACGAGGCAAATTTGTTTCTGAGCGCTCTTTTGGGCGCTCCGTTGTGCTTCAGGCCCCTTTCGGGCTTGATGGGGGGGGGGGGGGGGGGGGGGGTTGCGTTGTGCGAGAAAGGGAGAAGTGACTTTGATGAAGCCAAACAGGATCCAAATCTATGATGCCAAACGCACGCACTGTCGACTTGGTGATCACGCGCGATCTATATCGACTCTGCCATTGTCATACATTGAGAGCACAGGAACAAGCCCGCCCGGACTACAACTGAGCAGCGATACATATTTACAACACCGCTACCTCAAATCCGAACCTCAGACCAACGCGCAGGCCCCAGCGAAGACGCCCATCACAGCCATGCCCACACCTAGAGCCGGGTGGACACGCGCAGCCGCGCTTTTATGCGACTGCGTGGGTGCGGGCGCACTGGCCGTCGCCGCGGGAAGCGCCGGCACGTCGAGCGTCATGAATCCCACATTCGAGACAGTCGTCGTGGTCGCCGCGCCCGCCGAGTCGGTGCCCGAGACGATGAAGTTGTCGCCGCTCAGCGCGCCGTCGAACGAGACGGCGATATCGAGGCCTGGGACGCTGGCGGAGAGACCGTACGAGAGGTAGTCTGTTCCCTCGACGAGTGTTTCTGATTCAAGCATGGCACCCAAATTGTTAACACTTGGGCTCGATCGGGTAGACTGGACCGGTACATACGGGTTACACTGCCGATAGTGCTCGACGCCGATCCCGAGAGGCCTTCGAGGACCGGTTCAGCGTATAGATAAGTTGTGTGTCCCGCCGAGTCGACGCCGCCGATGGAAGCAGACACCGGCCCCGTAAGATCAGACGCGATTGCGAATGGGTTGGCCACGACAGTGATGAGTGCAGGAGCAGCTGCGACAAAAGCGACTGGACACCCAGTACCCTCAGCAAAGACCCCTCACCGAAAAGACGGCAACGACGAACGTTGGGAGATGGCAGTCAATGCCAAAACCTTGGAAGACTTTGCAAGAAACATAACGAGTCGACTGAGAAGAGATAATCAAGAGGGGGGCGAGAAGATGAAGAGAACGAAGCAGGGGAACAACACTGGTTGTGCGACTGTTATATGCGCAACCGTCCATCACTATCAAAGCTGTGGGCGCGTCATACGCATCAGCAATTCCCGTCTTGGGTCCACTGGCGAGCTTCGTTGGAGATGGTTACGTCGCTGATCATGGCAGAGCAGGATGTGCCGTAGGACAGCAGGGGTCGGAGCTATTGTACGCCTCGGAGCCTTGGGGCTGAGTACCGCCTGAGTAGGTCCCATTCGGTGAAATGTCAGCTCGCAAGTCGCTGGACCTGAGGGCACGTGGACGCAAAACATCGTGACCCCGGCATGTAGGCATCGATCTCGAGGTTAGTTAGCTGCTTACAACAACACCAGGGGGGCAATTATAAACATACGAATAAGTAGGGGAAGTAGCTTATATAAGTCCGTAGATCCCGGGCTCACCGATGGTCGCCCGCCTTGACCAACTCCGTTGCCAAACGTCCGAGAAGCTCTTCCGATTTCGGATTCCGCGGGAAACTCCTTCCGTCGCCGGGGCTGCATGCATGCGCGTGTCAGAAGCTAGCAAAGGTCTACAGTATGTCGCGCGGGTCACGTACGCAGAGCCCCCACACCACAGCCGGATGACCCAGCCATACGGCCGGTTCCAGCCGAAAACCTGCCACAGATTGTTCCTCCACCCGATATCGTAGAGGTGGATGTATCCGTGCGCGTTGCGCACGATGAACCGCTGCGCCCGCGACAGCTCCGGCTCCAATGGTGGATCCGACAGGTCGTGGCCGGTGCCCGGCAGCGGCGGGAGATCGCGCAGTATCAAGAACGGCGAGAGGTTCTCGATGGTTGTTTGGTTGATACTGGGTGCGGTGAGAGAGGCCTCGTCCGGCAGTCACTTCCTTTCACGCACATTATGAGGTACAGATGATAGAAGTAGAACGAGCCAATCACAAGGGCGAACACGAGCGCATAGAGCGCGACAAATAAGGCGTGAAGGGGCATTACATCGTCCTGTGAGCAAATGAGCATATGATACAGTGTCGTTGGCCACCTGACAGACATACCACAGCATATGGATTGCTGATAGAGTGCCACGCGGTGAAAGCGCAGACGACACTCATGTACGAACCAATAAGCGTGATACAGAGGAGGAAATGCAAGAATGCGGGGTAGGTCCGGTGACCCTGTGGGTGTACTCAGTCATGAGGAGCGGTGTCGGAATCAGGACGCACGATACACTTTCCACCGAGCCATGGACAATGATGATCTATCCCAGAATCAGACAACGTAGTAGAAGCAAGCAAGGACTTCGCCTACCCATTTTCAGCACACATCGGCCGCAAATGCTACAGTGGTGGGTACGCTCTGGTTTCGGACCCTTGAGTCCTCCTTAGCATCACTAGACGGACGAGGGCTCGCGTTGACATACCCAGCACTTGCGACACCACTTCCCCGGGCCGGAAAACTCGTCGCGTGAATTGATGAGCGACTCCATGCTCTCGTCCTCTTGTAGCTCGAAGGTGACGGGGCCCGGATCCCGGGCGACGCACACGATGAGCGCGGAGAAGATCATGAACAGGAGCGTGGACGTGGCGAGGACATGGATGACGACCAGGTCGGGTCGGTGCAGGGTCTGGAGGTGATAGTTCACGAGTACATACAACCACGATGGCAGCGGAGCGGTGATGAGCAGTATTGCACCTGGGCGCGGTAAATATAGAATTTTGGGCTCGGAAGCTTTCTCACAGCATAACGGGACATAGTGATACCAGCGTTTCGTGGGAGCCTCGGGGTCTCTCGAAGGCCCGAGCTTGGGGGAATAGTCCACAGAGTAGGTGGGCGATTGCAGGGCAATCGTCTCGGTGGGATTAAAGGAGGACCTCGAAGTCATGGGATGTGGAAGTCCGAATTTAATGAGCGGGCATGAGCGAGGAAGAGCCTGGGGGTAGAGAGGATGTGGCTGTGTCGCCGCGTCCGCTTTGTCAATTGTCAATGTCAATCTGGATTGGTCATGGCCCGTGACCTACTAAACGCTTGTAGTTGCCCTGCCGGTGTGGCAGGAACCTTAGCTGCTAACCTGCCGAGCCACTTGCGATTGAGCTTGCTATTGATTCGCACTTACGTCTGGATCCTTGAAATTTGCACCCCGGTCTCATCCTGGTGGGATATGCGCCTCGCATCTCGATCTTCAGTGTGAAGAAGCTTATCCGTCATGGTAACATCCGTTCAGTTGCCGATTGCCATTCCGGCGTTGCTCTCCTCTGAAGCGTGGCCAACGCCAATGTCTGATTTTCGTCCTGGTCGCTCGAAACTCCAAGGGCCGTGACGTTGACAGCAAATACTTACAGCAGAGTGAGGATGTCCAGTTCCTGAATTCTCGTGTGGCATCTGGCGGTTGACACCCACCCTGTAAACATGAAGCTCAAGTTCTTGATATACATTGCTTGTACCAAGGGTTGTATTTCCAAATATCCGCTCAGCTCACCGAACCTCACGAAACTGACTGCAGTGTGCTCGAGTTCACTTGTCGAACATCCGTCTGGTGGTACATATCGGTAAGTGAAGGCACTCGAACATTCGGGAACAGCTGAGAGCGCGTGTTCTTTTGTCATCGGCTAAGCAATCCAACAGCGCCTTGAGACTGAAGTGAGAAGCGAGGGCATCGAAGCGGTGCTTGAAAAGGAAATTTCAAGAGTGCAGCGTGTGACGACTCTTAGGCGCGTTCAGTCACCAGTCACGAGGAAGGCACGTGGGAGACTCCTGACTTGATGGCCTTTGTCATTGATGATTGAGAGTACGGCATAACTTTGCTTCTTTCCAATGAACACGACGCACGTCGCTCTCTCTGTACTCACTCATCTTGTCTACCCTCCGAACACTATATCTAAGATGTTGTGCCCTCACTGCCTGGGGCCGCCATGCACACCGTCTGCGGAAACGAAATACGGACACAGCTAAGATCGCGAATCCAACACTGAACTCGCGGTGGAGAGGCGTTCACATCAGATGGAGGACACCAGAGCTGCTCGAACTCCGGTACGTGAATGCTGAGACGAGGCCCCGCGGAACACCACTGTAAGTGTGAAGTTACTCCGACTCGATCTTGATCATATCAATCGCACATGATATAGAGCGCTTCCTGATCTTGCTTTTAACGTCGCCGGCATTGTCTCTCATGAGCGCCGACCCGATCTTGAGTCGTTTCATAGGCTTTTGATCCACGTAGCACTCAAGCCTGAGCCTTGCAATCGTTTCCGCACACTTGCTCAGAGAGAAGTCTTGAATAGTACCACTGGCAAAGATTGCCTTGACGAGCTTGAGACACAGCTCTCGGACTGCTACCCGACTCCTGAACCTATTCTTTGTCAAAATTCATCTTCACTCTCGCTCCTTTGTGTGCGGACTTGAGTATCGTGGCCCTCTTTCGGCTCGGCTTGATCTGCAGACATCATTGACATCTAGTTACGCTCGAATTGACTTGAAATATATGACAGTGTATAGCCCAGAATACTTGATACTGGTGAGTCAGAGTTTTCCAGGTTTGCTATCCTTTATCTCTTTGCATGTTCCAGCCCTCGATCCTCGGCACTGGTGATTGATTTCTGGTCACCCCTTTCAGCTTGTTTAAATCCGTACCCGTCTCTTCACATGTGCGTAAATGCTATTTGACTGACACGATCCCGATCCTAGGCACCAGTGACATGGACTCGAATGCCGCATAAGCAGATCGAAGACTCAGGACTGTCTCGTTCCGAGTTTCTCGTACCCACCCCGAAATACAGCATCGTCCGTAACAGCCCATTCAGGACGATCTCATTTCCGACTCTTAGCGAGGCGCAAAACCTGGTGTTACGAGAGCACTAGGGTTATGGGTTTCTCTGGGTTGTCTGCTGGCTAGAGACTGCCGGAAACAGTCCGCTGTAGTGCTGCGTCGCGTGGGTGGCCTGCACTGGCAGCTCTCCCTCGAAGACGTCATGGAGCCTAAATCATGTAAAGTAGCCGACTTGAGGCTTAATCCCCGCCCGAAGTACGGACTGAGAATTCTAGCGCCTGCACAGATCTGCTCAGTCTTTTCGACCGTGTCTTCATTAATATCTACGCATCGATTGCCCTTCTCTACCGACAAGGCCGGGCCCGGACGCAGCAGAGCACGGCATTCCGAGAGACTTGCGGAAGCCACGTCTAACTTAGTCAAGTGCATAGTCAGTGGATTCCCTTTGGCAGGTCCGGTGCTCAAAGGCGACTCACGTTTGTTTTGAAAGATCACAGAAACATTCCACGGGCACGCGGTGCAACAGCTGGTCCGAAATTTCGGCTTCCCACCCCGATAGCTGCTCTGATGACTTTGGCCTCTTCCTTCATGTCCTTTCTAACTGCATCTTGTTCATACGACTCCCGAATACTTGTCCGACTCGGTCCCCATGCGTTTTTACAAAGCTCGATAGCGGTGCTTGTCAAATCCTCGCCTCGCTGCAAACACGTTTCCTGATGGCGTTCCAAAGTTGTCTGATAATCGGGCGTGGACAGGAATCGGCTTCGCGCCGGATTAATAGGACCGGTCAACAAAGACACCTTAACTATAAAGAGGAGAGAGGGCTCGGAAGAAGTACCCTGATCTTTGGTACCTTGTCTTCATCCGTCGAACTCCTCCAACTATCGATCCACTTTGCCTGCTTTGTCGTTCGCCGGGTCATTCCATGACAGAATACACTACTTCGTCTCAGGCGATCCGAGATTATCTGTCCAGCAAAGAACGCACTCGCCAGTGGGTCCAGCACCGTACAGACCCGCCAGAACTATGTTACTCTCCTTCGATCGTGCCCTCGATACTCGACGACCCCGATTTCGTTCCTTCGACACCCTCAGATGCCGGCAGCACGCACTCCCTTCCCCAAAGATGGTGCTGAGATACACCGACGGTAGGCCCGACGTGCCGATTCCTGCGCCGACCTTGAAACGGGGCGGGTCCAAGTTGCGGCCGACGGGGACCAGTCGGTCGCACACGATACCCCACCACGACCGCCCGCGCACAGGCTCACACGCTGCACCCCACGTCCCTGAAGAAATCCGGATTCTCCCTGCCCCCGACGCATCGATTCCCCCGCAGCCACGGTCTCACGCGCGGTCAAAGTCCCTTCCCAGGAATGCGCATGCAGAGCCTGTTCCTGACATGCCTATTCCCGGCCTGCCTGGACCAGTTCCGCTGTCCGGCAGGGCGCCGATGGTCACCTTCTCTCAGCAGCCTGGCCCGCAATGGCACCCTCACTCCCAGGGGCACCGGAACGCCCCGCCGTCTATCGTATATGCGCCCTCGCATCACAGATCGCACCCACACTATGCTCCGCCTGTGATCTTTTCCCACCCACCCAAGGTCGGGCCAGACGGGGTCATCTACAGCCACTCTGCGCCTGTGCCAGCCAACTACGGGCAGTCGTACCACCCGACCCCGTATCCGTCTGTCGGATCTGACGAACGTCACACTGCCGAGCGACACTCACGCTCGCGCACGCCCCACCCAGAAGCGAGCCGGTCACGCCACCGTCACAAAGAGGAGATGCGGCCGGTGAGCCCTCCCTCGTCGAGTTCTTCTTTGAGTGACGGCTCGGGCAGCACGTACTATGTCCTTCCGACTGGGCGACAGAAGGTGCACGTTATCGTGAGTCGAATGCGTTAGCCTCCGAGCGCACGCCGCTTACCCAACAGCAGCACACGCCGGATACTAGCGCTTCTTCAGGCCACCGCTCGCATCGTCGCGCAGACTCCCACTCTTCCAAATCACCCACTTCCCCACATTCACCGAATTCTCCGAAGAAGCCGCTCTTCCAACGCTTGTTAGGAGCTGGGCAGCGGCTCTTCTCGACGTCGTCAGGTGATGGGGCAGGCTCCTCAAGCTCCCAGAGCGGCTCGGTACGAGGCAAGCGGCTGCAGAGGCGGCATTCGACTGGCACTCGCAGCCAGAGTGTTCCGCCTGCCGAGCGCCCAGCTTGATCGGCGGTTTTCTGGAATTACTATTCTCTTTGCTCACGTCTCGCTCGACCCTGGACCCACGGCTGTACATGCTACCTTTGTCACTTCATAAACGCTTTTCCGTTTGGATCACCGCGGACCTTTGTGTCCGCGATCACCTTCCTTTGCTTAGACTCTCCTAGTCCGCTCCTTCTATGTCCGTAAGACTCCTGCCTGCCTGCTGCCCATTTTCCTTCTGTCCATCGCGAACGCGTCGTCGCTGTACCCTCCGTTTACCCAGATCGCAACCCAAAATCAAATAGAATGAATGAAGAAGCCGAGTTTATTGTGAGAGATGAAATGATGGTTGACTTGCCCGTTCCAGGCTTCATATCTTCCATGCTCAGAAGAGCAGCGAATATCGTACCATGTGCCCATCCGATCCACCGCGAGTGGATCGTCGGTCATTTCCATGGTCAGTTGATCTCATTTCCGCCACGCACACATGACTGCGCCAACTTCGGCTACGAAATGTGATTTCTATTTCATCTCCCAAGCCCCCATGAGAACGAACTCATCTTGGAATACAGGCTCCAGAGTACAGACGAGTCCGATGACCATCAGTCCGTGTGCAAATCTGTTGGAATTGCATGCTGAAATCCATGATCGTGTCCTATTCGGATCGCATCTAGGAAGTCCGAAATTCTTGGTGAGGCTGACCTTTTCCAAAGATCATCTTATCAATCGTGAATATCAGATTAGATCATCATGCTGAATGGGAGCCAGAGACGCGACGCACGTGATCTCTCGGACTTGCCCAAGGCCATTCATTGCCTTCATTTCCTTTTGTCGATACCATGCAAGCACAGAGCACACGCACAGAAGCCGCTACGACCGCTGCTCAAAGCGTCGTTGCCGTTCAGACTCTATTGAAAGCGAGTCTGGGCTGTATCACGTTCCTCAGGTACCTATCCTCAGCGGCGTTGTCGTGGTTGCTTCCTCTCATTTGTCCTACAGGGATCTTTTACCCAGCGACAACTTCACTGACAGCGCGTCTTTGTTGTGTTTTGTGACGCGTATCATTGACCCTACTCAGGCCACTTCACCTCGGACGATTCCTTCCTCTCTCAACCCTCGGATTCGAACCGGTCCTTCGACAGCACGCGTAGTAACAGCAAGAACGTTAACGGATTCAGGATCATGGTGTGCCAAATCCACTACCTATCTTGCGCCTGCCATGACTCCCCAGACTATGACGCGCGGTTACACGGACGAGGCGGACAGGATTCTCAACTACCTGGTCAGTGCCTTCCGAACGCCCGCTAGCATTCACTCATCCATCTCAGGAATACGGCATATTCGATGCGCTTCAGAAACAGTACCTTCGAAGTTTCATTTTCGCTATATACCTGGTAAGCGACGCGCATACATCCTGTTCCGATTCCTCATCTCCTTCAGGATGAGAAGGATCCAAACAAGTGCGTTCCATTCGCATTCATTTGCCCTTGCTAATCACCGCAAGCAGCATCGTGGAAGCCTATACCTTCAACTTCCAGGTGCGTGCCATCTTGCTAAACTCAGCAACTTATTTAGTGAAACGCAGTACCACAAACTTCCCGGAACTAATACCATGGTGCCGATCATGAGCCTCGGCGAAACGCTGGACAAGATGTCGCTCAAAGATCCGGTCGTCCAAGCGGCACAGCAGGGCAAGGCGCCAACCCTAAAGGACGTGAAGAAGAGTGTCAAGACCGTGCTGAAAACGCTCATCCACTCAACGACCCAGATGGACGTCCTCCCGAGTGGGTGTATCTGCCGCATTGGTCCTCAGTCGGATCGTTGAATGATGTTCAGAGCGTCGTTTCGCCGCCTTCAAGCTGTTCTACACGGATGAAACACCATCCGATTACGAGCCTCCTCATTTCAAGAGCGGAGATGCCGACAAGGACAAGTGGTATTTCATGACACATGATCTCGACGAGGTCCCCGATCGATGGAATGTGGGGCAGCTTGACACCGGACATCATAGGTGTGCCCGTACTCTGATTACAGGCTGCGATTCCACTCACCCCTTGGACAGCATCAACCTAAGCGTCGCCTCCATCGCAACATACCTCCCGTCCTGCACAGAGAATGACAACGCGACTTTCACCGGCACGACGACTCGAGGCCTCTCGGGACCTGCAATGACTCCTGCTGAGGAGGCTGCGTTCCGGGCCGATCAGGCTGAGAAGCAAACAACCGATGCTGAAACCCGCAACATCGTCTGGTCGGCTGACGCATCGGTCGAGGGAATCGGTAACAACACGCCGGTACTGTCGGAGGATGTCGTCAAAGGGGACGGTGAATATGTGCCCGTCGGCATTAGAAAGGATGACGGTGCTATCGCACCAGTGCCGGCTATGGAGGCGGAAGAAGCCCATTTTGGGGGCGCCACTCAGACTGTCCCGACGCGGCTGGAAGAACTGGTGCGTGGGCTGATCCATTCCGATGGTCTACGCGCTGAAATGCTCCTATGCAGAATGCACAGAACAAGCTTGCCGATGTGGACATGGACCAGACGCAGACCCTGGATATCAATCAACTCGGCAGCGGGCTCCAGCCATCGTTGCCGGCTTCCAGTATTATGACGACGGAAACAGAGATCGACACGCAGGTGTTGCAAGATCTCGTTCTCAACAACCAGGCATTTGCGGAGGACAGTGAAATGCTTGGTGCGTGTGACGCTCTTCCGTTGACGAAAGATTCCTATCGTGAAACAGACATGGAGACGCAAGTCGTGGAGGACATGGATCCGATTCAGTCGCTGCAGTCCATCGACAGCTCGATGGTCGACCAGATCGAAGAGGACCAGATCGAGGAAGACCTGCCCACGCCGAAGCCTGCCAAGAAGAAGAGGGACGTCGTGGATCGTGGCATGCGATGTGAATGTGATGTCGATGTGAGCAGTCTTTTGAGCGATGTTTCGTGAGTAATCTGCATCCAGATGGATGGGGACACCTGCTTGTGCGGCGACTGTAGTAGACGATACCACGTGTGGTGCATGGGGTGAGAGCCATTTCCTATAGAATGCGGAACACAATTGAGACGATGCTCCTCCCAGATTCCATTCCCCCGCAGACAGCCGTATCCCGGAAGACTTCACTTGCTTCGATTGTCGTGCTCGGGCCGATAATTCGTGGGAGTTGATTCAGCTTGATCTGTATCCTCAAATGTTGTCCAAGTTCAAGGATCTTGCACTGTTCAGGTGTGTTGTGCAGGCTGAAGTCCAGAACGGTGCGACTAATGAGCAGAACAGACGGGCTATCAAGGTTGTAGAGACGTACAATCCAGAAGTCGTGCTTGATTTCGCGAAGCGCCTAGGTCAGGATTGCTGACATCCAGCGCCGGGCATTCTGATACCCAACAGGTTGCAACAACGTTCTTGCACGCCAGCTGTTCAAGCGCCTCGAGAATGAGGGTTTCATCCAGGAATTGTTGATGGAGGTCAACGACATCGGGTTTGCGGAAGCGAAACCAGGCAAGAGCAAGTCCAAGGCGAAAGCCAAACCACGCAAGAACGTGCAAAAGACGAAATATACCTTCAATCGCGCCTGTCTCTCAAGTCCCGCATACAACGACTACTTCAATCCAGATCCTCGCGTAGAAAGCCGGCTGTTGGATGTACCGAAGACGGTGAGGATGGGGTGATGCTATGCTTCGAGTCCTTGGCTGATGGCAGGCTCGCAGAAAGCGAATGTGAAATCGCACCGGCCGCTGCCGACCTCGTTGCCACGAATGGAGACGTTCGACGAATCGCAGACGCAAGCTGAAACGCAAGCTGAGACGCAAATACGACCCAGCAAGCGACTGCACTCTGACGACGAGCCCCGCCCGAAGAAGAAAGTCAAGATATCGCTTGCGCCTGCTGTGGATCTTGCTGAATGAAAGGAACTTCTTCGTCTGTGCTGTTGTGCTTCTCTTGTGCTTCCTGTAATGCTCTGTGTCTCTCGGATGTATTTGCTGTATCCTCGTCAAGAATGCTCTGTTGTGCTGGACCTAAAAGCTTGATACTTGGCAGTCTGCAAGTCGTCACCGAGCGTCACGTCAATCAACGGCGAGAACAATCCATCATGATTGAATTGAGATCTGGTCTGTGTTGATGGCCTCTTGGACTTCGTTACTTGAGACTAGAAAGCGTCGGCTTCGCCGACATTGTGCCTTGCTACTGGATACTAAAGTCATATAATCATGAACGAGTACAATACAGTGGCGAACAATTGAAATACAATCCGAGTCCGATCACTAAGCGGCCGATGCCCTAGTTTTCTTCTTCTTTGGGCTCTCGTCCATCTCAGGCACGGTCGGGCGACGTTTCTTAGGGCTGGGGGGCGGCGCAATCTGTGACTCAATGACGCGAATCTTGACGACATCCGCCATGAAAGTGTCTTCCTTCTGGTTGGTGAAAGCGTAGTGAATCATGTTGAAAGTGATCGCGACTGAGGCTCCCGGGAGTTTCTTCATGTACTCTTCCGGCGCAATGATCCTTCCGTCGAAGTCGTACGCACACAAACGATCAACGACATACTTGCCCTCCATCCTCTGGATCTCCTCACGCGCCAGTACGGATTTGACAGGCCATTCGTTTAGTTCGTACGCTGAGCGGATCCATGAGACTGAGGACAGTGACATCACAACAAAGCAAACTCACAGCCCTTATCGTCTTCGTCATTGGGGTCGGGGATCTGGTACCAAAGGTCAGAGAGAAGTCGAAAAGTCGATATAACACTCTCACACGGAAAGGAGCATGTTGGAGTTTGAATCCAGGCCGGGCGTTCTTTCCGTCCAGGGTACCCTTGTAAGCAAAACCCGGAGTCCGCGCCAAGTTGATAATCTGACGAACAGCGCCAAACGACTTCGTATACGCCCCCGCGTATTTGCTGCCGCTGCGTGGCGCCGTGGCTTGGAAGGTTAAACTGATCTTCGCAAGATCGCCTGGGCCTGCAGCCGTCGGATAGCCACCATCGGGGGTCAGGTAGCAACCTTCGGCGGCGATGGTGGCAATCGCGTGCAGTTCAGCGAGTTCGAACAGAGTGGGATCGGCTTCGGCTGCGTCTTCGACCGTGTTCGCGCCCTCCGTCGACTCAGGGGCCACCAAAGCCTCAGCCGCCACCACCACCGCTTCCGCAAAGTAATAGGGCGGTGTATGCGACACAGACGCAGAGGCGTCATGCGAGATGAGCGCAATTCAGTGAACGCTGTTGAGCGGAAGTGAGAATGGCCAATTACGAGAGGGACTCGAGTGCGGACTTGCAACTTGTTAGCGACGGCCGCACGGGAGATGCAGGGGGCGTTGGAGGTGTCACACTCTCGTGAAAACCACGGCGAAGAGCGCACTGCGCAAACGAGAGCACGAAAGCACAAGATACGCGTGCGTACATACAACGGTAAAGTCGAGTTGATCGGATCAGATGCAGGAACATTACATCTGATTTGTGTCGACAATTTAGGGTCTGGAGAGTGCCTTGACAAGCAAGGCAATTCCATTCATTCTTCGTTCACGACGCGCAGCATCAATAGTGACCTTGTATAATGCGCGAACCATGTAACTCAGCAACTGGATAAGTCAAGTACAAGTTCTGAACCACGTGTCATCCAATTGGCCCTGAGAGAGCTCAAACGTTCCATGTACCGACGACGTCTGAGTCTAAGCGGGAGATTGGCGCCTTCTTTAAGCCCCTTCGCGTTTGCATGGCTATGAATTTTCTAAGCACCTTCTACCTCAAAGCAGCCTGTGGTACCGCTTTCCCATCGCATGCGCTCAAAGACACCGAAGGTTCAAAAGGGCGAATTCACATGAGTGAGTGTCATGTAATCAGGGCCATTTCTGAATGGCTCAATTTTGCACTGCAAAAGCTGGACGCTGGCGCCGACTATGCTTCGAGCAGTACAACATCTATAGCTGTCCAAGGCAGTGTTTTATTAATGGCCTTGAGTCCTCCCTTGAGCTGTGGCTCATCGGAATCTTTGCTTGGGGTAGTGCATGGTACGGGCTGCTCAGAGCAGGATCAGTACGGAATGGCGAGCTTGATCATCCTGACGAGGTGTCGAAGCGTGTAGATTGGTAAGCGAAGTATGGTGTCTGGATGATGTACATCGATGTTGTAACTTCTTCGAACTAGCAGGGTACTCAGTCCCACAGAATTATCTCGATCCTCTAGTCTTGTTGACTGGATCTCAATCCCTTTGCTAATTGACACGCCAGGGTTCCGCGGGTCCATGAGCCAACATACGAAGTAGATCTACTTATATTATGCAAACAGACAAATATCCGTCGAATTGGTTCAGTGCAGATATTATTTTTCAAGCCTTTCTGGGCGCATCGAGTCACATCCGAACCGGAATTAAGGAACTTGGGAATGGGTTCGAATTTGACATGATTAGATGGCGCCAATGGCGCATCATTCAAATCAAGCACTGCCACAATTTCATCTCACGGTCATCCCATTACTGCCAGTCTGCGTGCACGCCCGAATAATGTCCCTTGTACGCACTCTGTGATCCAATGGCTGACGAACCAAGCCGAAAGGCTCCACTACTGCGCTCACATTTACTTGCCTTCCTCCGCTCGCACCGCATCCTCTTTGGCTTTGCTTTGTTCTCGGCAACGACGGCGACCTTCGTGGCCATCCATCTTGGATTCTTCTCCACCCTCTTCATATACCTCCCCCTCGTTACGATATGCGTACCAGCCCTCATGATTCTTGATGTCATTGACGCACGCAATGCACGAGCGTGGGCCAAACGGAGAAAGATCCGGTTCGGGCTGTGCCTCGCCTGGAGTGCATTTCTGCTCCTGGCGCCGACGTACCCGACGTATGGCCGGGACTCGTATATGAGTGCCCCAATACCACGATTGCCGAAGAACGAGACGTACTTCATCGCCGCGAATTTGTACGATTACGCGCGCCATCTACCGTCCTGGACCAAGCAGATGGACGCGCTCATCCAGCATCTTGGCCCACAGAATGTATTTCTGTCCATCTATGAGTCTAACTCGCACGACAAGACCAAGGCTATGCTGCGCGACTTCGAGGCGCATCTCGAGCGTGGCGGGGTGCGGCACCGAATTCTGATGGAGACGGACGACCGACGGACGGCAGGGTGGACGAGCGATGGGCATGAGCGGGTGCAGTACATGGCTGATATGCGGAACAAGGCACTGGAGCCGTTACGCAATGCGACCAAGGTCATCTTCTTCAATGATGTGTATTTCGAGTGGAGTGAGTGTGTCATGGCTTCGTTCTCGCTTCCGCTAACCTGAATAGAGAGCATCGTACGGTTGCTCAACACACATAACGCAGAATATGATCTGGCCTGCGCCCTTGATTTCGACGGGATTGGGCTCTACGACACGTAAGTCCAAGTGATTGCAGGACGGCTCTTGACTGAGGAATGCAGATGGGTCATCCGAGACGGCTGTGGTCACCGAACGAAGGAGATGTGGCCTTATTTCTCGAACGATCCCGTCGCCGTGGATCGCCTTCGGAATGACCAGCCCGTCGAAGTCGCCACTTGCTGGAACGGTGTTGCTGCTTTCGATTCTCGTTGGTTCCTATCAAGTGAGTTGTTTTTGCTATTCTTCAATCTGCATCCGAGGCTTAGCATGTCAGATAACCCGCTCAGGTTTCGGGATGACCCACGGTGTGCGGAATCGGAATGTTTTCTGATTGGATACGACATGCATGTCAAGACGTCTCCGAGTCGACCGAGGGTTTATGTCAACCCGCAAGTGAATGTCGGTAGGTCTTTGCTTGAAGCTTCTTTTCATTCGCGGTCTGAGGTTTTACCAGCTTATACCCCGGAGAATTGGTTGTATTACGGGACCCTCAAGCACCTGAGCATCACTCGACCTTGGCGGGTTGTCTGGGAAGACTGGATCGGCTACCGACTTTTCGGATGGGTTTCTGATCGCATCTGGCTCAAGGACGAGACCTGTCCATTAGAGAAAGAGGGACTGGTCAAAGCTGGACATTGTCCACTGTGAGTGTTGTATAATATCCATTCCACTTATCTACAGTGTAACATAATCTATACCGAGCTTGGGATCCGGGTAGGATGGCTGTTTGGGATGCCGAAGGTGTGAAGGTCACCTCCTGAAACGACATGATTTTCCACGACCGTCCTGTTTCCGAATAGGCCGACCTTGATTGACGGTACAAATGGATTTTCTGCGCCAATAGAAGTGTGATCAAGCAACGATGCGAATCTCGGAATCTCTGGCCGTTTCCTTGTTACTAGCTTCCAGACGCTTCTGGGGACACAACTTGGCGGGCCGTCGGAAAATTGTCCACCGGTCTGAGCATGCCCCGTGCCCAAGTCAATTTAGTTCTAGCGTCGTGGCCTGCTGAGAATTCGGGCGGACGTTGCGAAGCCCCCGCCGCTGCTCATCAGCAACGCAGCAGAGGAAACTCGAAAGCGAGAGCTGCCGCACCAGAACCTCGGGAAAAGCTTTCCGCATTTATACCAGGGGGAAATGCTATCTTGTTGAAGTATCTTCTGTGCCCCAGTCCTCTGACTGTCTCGTGTCTACAGATGCAAGTTCAGATTGCACCAGATCATAATTTCGGGGTGCAATCATGAACGCCCATATGGGGTTTTTCCCAATATGGAAATACTATAAATCCCAGCTTTTTAACCGACGCTTCTTTTCTTCATCCCCCCATGGTCTTGACCCTCGTTTTCTTCGACTTGTCCGGTAAACGAACAACCTGTGGGGTCCTCGCAGGAGAGTGAAATTGGTGCAAGGCATAGACTACACCTCCGTATCTCCCGACTGTTGGCTCATACGACTGCTTGGGCTCGTTAGAGTGGTGCACATCTTCTACTCTTACTTTCTGCATTTTGTACCCTATGTACCACACCCCAATGTATATTGTATCGGAGGTTATATGACTACACCTGTCACGGTATTCCAAAAGAAGTGGTCTGGTCGAATATTAATACCACGCAAAAGAACGTCGATTCAGGGTCTTGCGCGTCTTGAGGTTCTTGGTAAACAAGAGACATCGGGCATCCCCTTGTCCCACTCCTCATCCACGACGATGCCGTTCAAGCTATCCGCTACGCTTGCGGGCCACACCTCAGACGCACGTCGCCCAGCCTAATCGTTCTGCCGATCGAGCTTTCTGACCGCCAGATCCAGGTGCGCGGACTGAGCACTCCAGCCGACGATCTCATCTTGTCGGCTTCGCGTGATTCGACCGCGATCGTGTGGAGACGCGACCCAAGCTCGTCCTCTCCCGCTTCGGCCTTCACCCCGGCCACCGTGTACCACCCGAGCACGCGCTTCGTCAACGCCGTGACGTACTTACCGCCCACACCCGAAGCCCCGAAAGGTTTGGCAGGACGCACTCCTGAGCTGTAGGATAGCGGTTGACGGCGATCTCGCAGGATATGCCGTGGCGGGCGACCAGGACGGGGTCATCAGCGTGTATGCATTGGAGCCGACGAAGGATGAGCCGGACTTCATGCTTTTGGGCCACACCGGTAACGTCTGTGCCTTGCACACCACACCTGGAGGCGCCATCGTTTCCTCCTCTTGGGACCAGTGTGTAGTGTTGCTCTGCTTCTCACACGCTCTTGCCGACCAATACCTCCAGCACGGCCCGAGTCTGGCGAGACTTCAACGCGGCATTTGAGCTCAAGGGCCACGAGGACAGTGTCTGGGACGCGATCGCAGTCAGTGAGGATGAATTCATCACCGGTGCGTCGCGCTCGCCGTCTTTCTCTTTTTCACATGTGTTGACGCGCGTCGCAGCGTCAGCAGACAAATCCATCAAGTTATGGAAACAACACAAGGTTGTGCAGACGCTACCAGCGACCGGAGTTGTGCGGTCCTTGGCACTTATTCCCGATATCGGGTTCGCTTCCTGCTCCGACAAGTGTGTATTCTGACCTTGTCGCTATCGGGTCGCTGACCGAAGTTGGCGCAGCGAGATACGAGTCTGGACTCTGGGTGGCGACCTTGTACATACACTAAATGGCCACACCTCTTTCATATACCAGCTCGCGGTCTTACCCAACGGCGATCTCGTGTCGTCAAGTGAGGATCGAAGCGTGCGAATCTGGAAAGGTCTGCCGTTCCCCTGGGTTATTTCTGTTCGCCAACCGAGGCCTTCTTTTCAGATGGCGAATGCGCGCAAGTGCTTGTGCATCCGGCGATCTCAGTGTGGACGGTTTCGACAATGCCCAATGGCGATATCGTCAGCGGTGCTAGCGACAAGAATGTCCGGGTGTTCAGTGCTGTGGAAGAGCGATGGGCTCCTGCGCACGAGATCAAGGCCTATGATGACGTGATTGCCCAACAATCATTGGCGTCGCACGATGTCGAGCAGGTGAAGGTCGAGCCCCTGGATGCGTTGAAGGTGCCTGGTGCGTTTTTTCACGTCGTGTCTTTCAGAGTTGATCAGTGTGTGTTCAGGGAAAAAGGCCGGCCAGACACTGCTTGTTTCAAACGGGGACGTGACCGAAGTATACCAGGTGAGGCACCCAGTTTAGGCTTCATAGTTTCTCATCGAAGCCTATGTGCAGTGGGACGGT